CCACCAGCTTGCATCTGGTTCAAGATAGTATAGTCCATCGCGCACCTTACCCATTCCAATCAGCTTCATCGAGGTTAAATCCTGGATAAAGAACAAATCAAGGCCAAATGTGAAAAAACAATTCAAGTCGCGGGTCAATCGATTAACAGAAATCAAATTGAAGCAAAAATTAGGTACGCCCACAACATTATCAAGTGCCAAGTTATCATCTATGTTTATCCGGCCAACTGCTTGAACGGCAATCTGTTCGCCATTAGGGATTTGAACAAAAATATGATATGCGGAATAGAAACATCCTTCATCAAATGCAACTGATTGGAAGCATGATCGGTAGCTCCCGAGTCTCACGCCCAATCAGCCGGCTTACCATACGAAGACAACTGATTTGCGGTAGAAGCCTATGACGCCACATCCGAAGAAACCTGTTGACCACGCCAAAGGAGCTGAAGTTGATGATGCAGGAACCGAATCAGCAGCACCAACAAAGCTGGAAGCTGAACCGCTACGGGGACGTTGCTGTTGATCGCGTTTCTGCTTGGGTTGTCGCCAACCAGGAGGATACCCATTCAATTCATAGCAGCTCTCCTTGATATGATTCGAACGCCCACAGTGAGCACAACAAGGCCTGGGACGACTAGTATCACGTGAATCGCGGACAGAATGCTAATGAGCCGAAGCTTTCGCTACAAGGGTAGCTGCTTCGACAACCAGAAGCCTGGAATCAGCAAGGCGGCTGTGTTTCTTGTCACTGGAGACAATGGCATACGCACGTCCAAGAGAAGGCAACTGATCAACGATGAGAACCTAAGACCGAATTGTTTTGTAAGTATCATCAAGTCCCATGAGGAAATCGAAGAATCTCTCTTCCTCATGTATAGTCTGCAACTGCTTGTTGATGTCGCACGTACATCTGCCACAAGAACAGGAAAGAGGCGGCCGAAGGTGCTGCAGTTCACTCCATATAGCCTTGAGCTGGCCATAATACGTGGAGGTGAGCGCCTTCTCCTGCTGTAAGAGAGCAATCGATCTCTTCAACTCGTAAACACGAGGAGCCAAGCCTTGCGTAAATCTTTCCTCAAAATCAGACCAAATTGCCTGAGCAGTGGGTGTATGTGTGGCCTCGGTCTATAACTCCTAGCAAACACAATTGAGAAGCCAGGATTTGATGAGGGCGTTGCATTGGATTCAAGGCTTCAGCTCCTCCGAAACAGCATCTGGTTGTTCAATCGTTCCATCCACAAAACCCGCTTTATTTTTGGATTGAAGAGCATTAAGAAAGCCACTTCGCCAGGTGAAGTAGTTATCACCAGTTTCAGCAAGAAGTTGGGTAACGAAAGTCAAACCCGGATGATCAGACGGGTGGACATAGTAGGGTGAGCGGGAATCAACCGTGGTGGAAGAAGAATTCTTATCACCCATGGCAGAAGCAAGGGGATGGACGGCCGGAAAGGAGAAAGATGATCGGCGGCCGAAAAAAAAAACGTAAGAAACTTAGGGTTTAGGAAATCTAAGTCTCGTGATACCAGAAAGAGTTTACGGTAATCTGATTTGTATTGATACATAGGGTACATATTTATACACTTTACATGAAACCCTAATAGTAATAGTAAACCCTAATGGTAATTATAAATTACATTCTTATTACTCTCCCCCCATTAGCCGCAGTTCTTTCTCCATCAACAAATGGGTCTCCAAATCCACTCTGGAACTGTATTTGGAAGCTCAAGATGCATCCTCGTTTGAAGCATTTTCTTTGGTCTGCTTGTAACGAAACTTTGTAGTCACCTGAGAATCTCTTTCGCCGACATTTGCTTCAGCAGCAGGATCAATGTGCAAGCTGCAACGATTTAGACATTTCCACACAGCACATCTTTTCCGATTGTCATTTTGCAACAGAAGCTTATAGCATCTCTGTCGAATTTGATAAGGCAACATGAAAATATAAATGGTGCTGAATGGATAAGGAATACAGTACTCAAGCTGAAGGCGGAGGAAGCTGAACTGGCTGCAATATTGCTCAACTACATATGGTTTAGAAGGAACAAAAAAATTCATGAAGATGTAAAGCCCTTAGGGCATCATCTATTGTGCTAATGGCCAGCAGCATGAGGAGGAATTTTATGGATACAAATGCCTGGCCAGAGAGGTCCCGTCACTACAATTGCACTCTCTTTTGGGTCGGCCTCCGTCGGGACCGAAAGTTTAATTTGATGGAGCAATTTCCCGCCTTAATCGTTGTGCCGAGATTGGAGTCTGGTGTGCTGATTCGGACGGAAAGTTTGTGGGAGCCAAGTCAAAAAAGTATCCTGGAGTCCTGATAAAAGATTATTTTCTTGTTGCTGCTTTCTCATCGTTGGCGAACCCCTGGTTGCGGAGCTTCACTTCTTTTCTTTGAGCTATGACGCGATTTATAACAATTTGGTGCTCTTTTTAGTTTTTATTCCCGCTGTTACATTTCAAGTTGTTTTTTTTAATTTTTTAGGCGATGTAGTTTAATTTAATTTAGTTTGAAAAAAAAAAGAAAAAAGAAAAAGAACTTCTGGTTGTCAGTGCTTGATATCAATATTAATCGTATAAGTTGAGACTTTTAATTCAAACTTTAACTACACTATTTTGAAATTATTGTCTGACGTGTCAAACTTACTTTGGTTGATTAAAAAAAATCAGAATGAATTTGGACCAAAAAAATAGATTTTATAATTTTTCCATAAAATAAAAAAAGACTAGATTTTACAACTTTTTCAAGAATCATGGGAACGGATAAATGAAATTTTTGCTAATTAGAATTTGTGCTAATTTAAATTAAAAACCATTACAATCCACGCGTGCAAGTAAGTACTAGTAATTATTATAGTTGCAAGGAGTAGTTGCAAAGATTCCATAAACAAACAAAAAAAAAAGAAAATTAATAAATCATACTGACAAATTGCAATACACATACACTTTTTTTCTAAAAGAAAAGTAAGAAATATCTTTCTGTAAATTATGAATATTAATTGACAATTCTTCGCTATGAAAGTTGACTCCCTCAGCTTTCTGGAATACTTCTGAAAGTCAACCCCTTACATCAGTTTCTAGAATTTCAAGTTTTCAACACGAACCATTTGGACTAACTCCCTGACCAACATTAAATTATCAATAGTCCTATATGTTCTTTTCTCCAAAAAAAAAAAAATTGTCTATATGTTTAATTTTGTTGAGAATTAGAGATTTCAATTACCTAAAATAAAAATATAAATATTTCACTCTCTACATATAACGTTCATCTTTGAATAAATTAATGAGTTAATTGCAAAACACCATGTCTTACTTTAGCCATTTTGTTTATTAGATCTCTCGATCGGTCGAATTGTAAGATATAATGTTGAAAAAAAAAAATAAGTAAAAGAAATGACATTTTTAATAGACGTGTCTGTTGGTGACAGCCCCAATTGAAGTTTACTGAATAAGTTGCAAGCTTGTTAGCACAAAATTCGCCTTAGATATGTATGCTTAATTAATGGAAAAACTTTTTAAAGAGCAAAGGAAAAACCTAAGTTATTCTGAAGGACATTAGTATTTTTTTTCTTTCTGTAAATTGCTTAAATACATATAATGTTTTAATGGGCTAATCTCGCCAATCGTCTTCTCAAGGGCTAATTAATGATTCAAATGTTGTAAGAGTTACATGCAGTCAAGAAAATGATGTTCACAAATTTGAAAAAAATATCCCCCAAAAATTTCTTAAGCAACATTCCAATTTTTACTGCATAAATGTCAATTATAATTCTCTTAGATTAAAATAAGATATTAAATGTTTAAAAAACAAACAAAAATTGATATTCACATTCTTCGATTGGAAGGTGATCGTGATTGGCTAATAATGATCAATTATTTAAAATTTTAAACGTGTCAATTAAACTTTAAGAAGGGACGTTACGTCCGAAGTTGACACTGTATTAAAATTGTTCAGGATAATTTAAAAAATGCAATTCTTATAATTTTTTGTTATTTTTTATATTTAAGAGTAGGTGATACTAGGTCAAACACAATTGGTTGGCAGTTTAAACAGTCCAACCTTTAAATTAGGATTTGACCATTTGAGCTTCTTATTTTAAACCCACAAAAATTCATATCACTTTGTTTTCAAAGATAACGTACGGACTTTGCAATGTTCAATTTTCAATTAACAGTTGAGCATTATTATTACACAACATTTATTAGTTTTTATTATCAGGTTCTTTAATAAGTTCAGCCCTATAACTTTTATTCGTGGTCTATTTCACCTACATAGTTTGAAAATTTCAAAATGACGTTATAAGATCTTCACAAATCAACTAAGCGTTGAACTAGAATCTCCATATATTCTATTTCTATTTGATACCTTAAAATCTAAATTCATTAGCTGTAAGTAGTAATTTAGCGTATACTAAATAGATCTTCTTTTAGTCAAACTTATTTCAAGTTCAAACATAGCCAAACTTATATCTAGTTCGCGAAATTCATATCCAATTTCCTCAGAAGTCTTGTTATGATCTGATGTCTGTTCTAGCAACCACAACACAACATAGGTAAAATGTTTATTTTAAAAAAACTTAATATTGCCCCGTCCCGAAATTATTGTCCAATTTGAATTTTTATTTTTAGTACAAGTTGCACTGAAACTGATCAAAAATGGATAATAATTTTGGGACAGAGAGGGTATAACAATTTTCAGCACATCCTTTCTTTCTTATATGGTTTATGATTATGAACATTTTGTCAATTTTACCAAGAGGAGTTGAAAGAGATGAACCATAAAATTACACGATAAGATAGATTAGATAATCTAATTTAAGAGGCCTAAAGTGCAAAACCAAATTATCCCTTCAAAACTTCAAAACTTTTAAATTTAAGTCCATGTGACAGTCAAACACTAAGCAGAAAAATCTCTTTCTTTTTCTCACAATTTAACCAGAAAAACAGAAATCTATATATATAAAATGAGTCAAATGGTCACAAGATTTTGCATATTTTGTATCATCAAAACACGCAGGCAAGACAACATCAAAACCAAAGACTCAGTCAGTGTCTCTCTCTTTCTCTCTCTCTCTCTCAACATTGAAACTGACCCCTCCTGAGTCTCCACACTTTCTGTGGCATTTTGTTTGTTGTTTCTTGTTCATGATCACAGTATATTTGTTGTAAGATTGTGGAAAAAAGAAACCCATTTTCTTGGTGAGGTAGTTGGGATTTGTTAACCGATCATTGTGCTCTGTTCATGCCATTAGAGAAAAGGGAGGAAAAATCGAGAATTAGAGCACTTTTTTTTTTGTTGGGAGTTATTGATAATGGATTATTATCAGTTATTGAGTTCTAATTCTTACCAAGAATCCCTTTTGGCCCTTGAATCAGACATTCGTCATGCCAATCTGTTGTGAGTTTTCTTTCTTACCCTGTGATTTGTGTGATATTCCTCTGTGTAAATGTGGCTTCTGTTGTTTATACTGCAGTTTGTGAAATTGGGTGATACTAATCAGTAAATGTGGGTGTTATAAGAAGAATCATGTACTTGATCATGTTGATTTTAAGTTGTTTTCATCGCTATTTTGACATATTCGATGATGATTGGAATTTTTCCTTCTGTAATTACTTTTTGAAGAAAAGAAGCCATTTTGTAAAATTGTATTCTGATCACCCCCTCGTAATATGTTTAGTGTTACTGATTTTCCATTTCCATCTCGTCAGAAATTTTTCTCCTTTTAAAAAAAAAAAAAAAAACGATCCTGTGGAGATTACTTCTTTTTATGAATTGGGAGTTATGAACAGCATCTTCATTCACATTCAGTACAAGAAGTTTCTGTGCGGGATTTGAAGTTCATTCCTTTTTCTTCCATGGATTTATCAGAATTCGCTTGGAGTTGATGAATAAGGGATAGAAAAACTTAAAACCATCCAAGTTTTTCGCTGAAACCGGACATTTCATGCCCTGCATTTTGTTTTTGTTTTCGCTTATTTTCCGTTTTCTTCTGAGGTCTGAAAGAGTGAAACTTGTAAGTTTAAAGTGAATCATATTACACAGCCAGACCATCTTGCCAATGTCTTTCTCCTTAAATGCTGCATTTAGTCAGATGGTTTCGTGTTTGTTTTGGAGTTTGTTCTGGTTTTTTGAGATGTATTGGTTAATTGATAAGATTTAAACACCTGTAACACTGCCAGTGTAGCTTGGAATTTGGATAAAGCTCACGTGTGAAGTACACTGCGATTTCAGGGCTGCTTCTATTTCAAGAACAAGTAAGCATGCTTGTTTACAGTTGAAATTGGTCTACAATCACCTGGCACCGGCATTTCTATTTCTGCTGCAATGGCTGGATTTCTCGTGCACTTGCTTGCTTCCCAGCTACCTAAACTTGTTCCATATTGTCGTATACGAGGTTTCTTGTTTGCTTCTCGATGTGCTTTTTTCCCATCTTAGCATTTGAGATCTACTTTGAGGAACATTTTCTGCGATTTTTGGTCTCAGGTTACATCTGATGGGAAGCACAAGCTCACCTCACCTGGAAAGAGAGCGACAATCAGAGAATTTTACGGTATGGAGGCCGACCTTAAAGTATACATGATCTTGCAGATTATGTGATCTATTATGCATAAATTACCTTGCAGATTAGATGATCTGAAGAATATGCAATCTATTGTCAGTTTGTAGTTATTGCGCTGTTTTTTTTTTGTCATTCTGGGACTGCAATGTTGGTCCTGTTTCTTACTATTGCTAGTTCTGCAGCTATTATATTACCCTCGCTTCAATGCCTGAACGATAACTTATCAGAGATACAAAGTAATATGGAGAAAGGCCAGAACTTAAAAATGATGGTCAAGAACAGTAAATTTGGAGGAATTAGCAAGCGCCTTGATTGCGATTCAGATAGAGAAGATGAATGTGGGATCTGTTTAGAACCCTGCACAAGAATGGTGCTACCCGACTGCTGCCATGCAATGTGCATCAATTGCTACCACGACTGGTAGGTCCTTCTTCTGTTTCTCTTGACATATAGTAATTTTTCATCTAAAACATTAGACACACACACACACACACACACACACACAAAAAGCAAGAAAAGAGTTGTTCTTACAGAAGTGTTGCTTGCTTCCGGTTCCCCAGGAGTCTAAGATCAGCTTCATGCCCCTTTTGCCGAGGCAGCCTGAAGCGAGTAAACTCCGGCGACCTGTGGGTTCTCACATGTGACAAAGAGGTAGCTGATAGGGAAAGTCTAGTGAAGGAGGATATGCTGCGGTTTCACCTTTATATAAATAGTCTTCCTAAAGATACTCCTGATGCGCTTTTCTTGGTTTATTATGAGTACTTGATCTAGTGGAATAAAAGAGGCAAAAAAAAAAAAAAAAACAGACAAGGCTGGAGAGAGGATCGATCAGCTAAGAACACCAAAACTGGTTTTCAACTCAGCTAATGGGAGAGCTTTTGCAGAAACATTTCTCCCATAGGAAAGTGTCATCAATCTCCCACAAACTTTGCTGTTCAATTCTTTTACATTTATCTTTATCTCGGCATGGAATGTGCCATTTAGCATAGGTCACTGGAGATTAGGCTGGAAAGATTCATTTATCATGTACCAAAACAGGGGTGTTCGACAGTAACCCTTTTTGTAACACGGATAGCAAATCTACTGAGAATGATGAAATAATACAGAAGCATCATAAGTGCTGATCTATTTAACTATAAATATACCAGATGCACATTTCTCTTAATTGTGATCCTTAAGACGAAATGAGAAGCTGATATTGATGTAGTGAAAGATGGCACACTACATTTGCATTTGCAGCCAAAAGCAATCTATATATTGCCAAAAGAAAATGAAACCTCGCATAAGCAGATCATTTAGGTTACAGAGTAATAAGCATTCCCGTCAAAATGTGTCCGTAGCATTACTTCTAAAGGCAAAACTCAATTGCGAGAATCTCACCATCTACTATGTGGACTTTGGCAACTCCCGCCTGAGTACAATATCAGAACAAGAGCCCTAACATGGAAGAGGCTCGTGCCGAGGCTCTTTGTCCATAATCGTCATAAAAAGTCAATTCCATCTCAAACTTCTAGAGCAGCTGCAGCTACTTCCAGATTGACAGCTTCTACATGAAACCTAGTTATTCTCCATGAACTGCGCAAGCAGATAATGAATAAATTCTCTGAGCATCCAAATACAAAGGAAGACTATTCAAGGTCCACTTCGATCCCCGCAGTGTGGAACGGCTGCTCTTTCCAGCTTGCTAGATTAAGTGCAGTTATCCTGTGTGTCCATAACAGAAGTACATAATGCCGTATGTTCTTCTCAATGTACGAGTGGGAAATGAAACAATTCATCAGGCATTTCTGTTTTTGATTCGTACTGTATCTGTCTATGATGCTGCTAAATCCAAAAATTGCACTTTGATATAATAGCAATGTCAAACAGCTACTAGCCCACTTCCAAAGTGTTCCTTCAAAAAGCAGTTATATCATTCAACAACAATTGGGCTTAAATTCGGTGTCACCCATCAGAGGGGAAAATGAGCAAAGGTTTCCCCAATCATATATTAATCCAAACAGTTTAGGATAACAGTTATTCTTCATGAGTACGTTTCAGATGTTCAAAACACTGTCAACACAAGGTGTTTCCACTTGGAGACCTTTCTGCACCATTAGCTTCTCCAACTTAGCAGCTTCCAGTATATGTTTTTCTTCAGAAAGTGCAACCAAAAGAATTGAATAGAGATCAGTATCAATAGTGACGTTTCCTGACTTCTCGATTGCTTCATACAAGTGAAAAGCATCTAACGGCCTACCTGCTAAACAAAGCTGCCTCATAACAGTACTTGAAGCAGCACCATCAGGCCTGAATCCTCGAGCCAACATTTTCTTGAAAATCATCTCTGACTCTTCAATGTATCCAATCTGCCATAGGGAGATTACAAGCGAGCTATAACATTCATCATAAGAAACACTATATCCAACTACTTTATCAATGACCTTATAGACTTCTTCTAGGTGCCCCTCTGAGCAAAGTCCCTTGATTAGAGCACTCATTGTGATTCTATTTGGTTTGCATCCAAAGTCCCTCATTCGATCTAAAACTCGCAAGCCATTCATAGACTGACCCTTCTCGCAAAAATTTTGAATCAAAGTTGTATAAGTAAGCACATTAGGCTTATTATCCCCATTTTCCTTCTCCATTTCAGTCAGCATCTCGATCGCCCTCTCGAAAGTCCCAAACTTACAGAGCCCATCAAGTAATGCTGAATATACAATCGAATTTGGCAAACAGCCGTGTCCTTTCATAGCCTTAACCAACCTGCAGGCATCCTCCAACCTACCCAAATCACATAACCCCTTAATAGCACAGGTATATGTGATCATATCTGGATAAAGGTCAATCAAACCCATTTCTTTCATCAAATTCAGTGATTCGTCAACCTCTCCCTTCTCAATAAGCAACCTAATAACCACATTATACGCAACCGTATCAGGCCTGCAGTTAAACTCCTTCATTTTACTCAGAACCCACAATCCCATGTTTGCATCTTTAGCCTCTCGACATATATTCAACACTACCTTAAACATTTTAAGACTAACAGTACAATTTTCAACCCTATATGAATCAAGGACATCATAAACAATTTGTGGGTTACGCTTAATATCCAGCAATTCACAAGCTTTACCATACATGTAGGAAGTGTGTCTATACCTGGGTTGAAGGCCAGCCCAAATGAAGAACCGAAGACCCAAATGATGCTTATCCAAGGAAAGTCTCTCTAAAATTTCGACAACACACGTTGCATCAAGAGAAATTTTGATTCTGTTGAGAGAATTTTCCATGTTGGACCCGTCATTCTGCAAACGGGTCATGATCTTTTCTGCTGAGGATACTGATGTGGTGAATGAGAGGCATAACGAGAGCCAGTGATCAGGTCTTTTGGCTGGAGCTGATAATGAGAGGAAACGGGGAAGAATGAACATTGATCTTCTCTGCACAAAGGGGATTCAACAACACAACTTCAAAGCCCCACCTCCATCTTTGGTGGAATTTCAACAGCTGTATCACAGGACAGCATGGAAGAGACCAGTAAACAAACCAAGTTTGAGGTAGTTTTAACATGTAAGAAAAATTGATTATGAACTTTTCAACAAAAATATGCATAAGAAAATAAAGAATAAACATGAATTCAATCCCATTTCCATCATGAAGCCATCCACCACAGAATATAAAGCTTTATAGATGAATTCCTGTGAATACCTAGATTCAAGTTCAATAAAGTTGAACCTTAAATCTCACACTTCTACTCATACGTAAATAAACCCACAAAATTTCCTACAAATGATTTCAACCTCTGGCTTTCAATTGTCCACAATACAGAATACTTCTCAACTTAAAAAAAACAATTCCTATGGACAATAAACAGTCGCAATAGAGGATACTTCTTGCAAATGGAAGCGGAGAATATTTATTCTCAATAGATTCTGAACTGATGAGCCTTTTGTTGAGCTACCAAGAATGATAAGAGAACCATATGAAAACTGTGAAGAAAAGCTGCAGAAAAATGGCGGATATCTAAAAAGGGGAGGTAGAAGTTAACTATTAAATATCTATCGACCCATTTTCTATTATAACCCGAACCGTATTAATCCACCAAAGTCAGAGACCCGGCAATTTCTTCTATTATACGGAGTATTATTAAAAACTAACCGGAAGCCGGATTATTTTAAACACTACGATTTTGTTGGACATGCATTCACAATCACAATCCTATACAGAATTTATGATCTTACTCACTCTTAGGTAAAATTTCTGTACACAATTATGAACAAGAACGTGCACCTGTTTGTGGACAATTGTAAGAAGTAGATATTCCATATTGATAGAGATTTATGAAAGCACTCTGTCTCCTAAATAATTTCGTGCACAATGATAACGCTACTAAATTTCGCTTTACCTTCTTGGTGTCATTTTTAAGAACTGACAGTGAAACTCATACACGGAGAATTAGAGATACTTTAATCATGCCTTATGTTCAAAGATTTGAAAGTTAAAAATCTCGAACTGAACAAAATTGAAATACATGAAAGTATGAAAAAAGTGATATTCATATTCATCATCAGTATTATAAACGCGTCACTATTTATTAAATCAAGTCCAGATTATATTGAACTTTAAAAAATATGCACTTCAAGTCGAGCTAATTCTTGTTTCTCAAAAACAAAAAAAAAAAAAAAAAAAAAAGGCTCAATGTATGAAAGCACGAAAAAATATAATTCTTCACTAGATATACATTAAAAATTCAGCTAGACATAAAATCAAACACCTACAATGCAATGAACAGACCTCCTGTAAGTCTAGAGCAAATAACGGAGCAACGAAATCACCAGTAAAGAATTGCAAGGAATCTTAAACTAAAGACACAAAAAGAGATGAAATTCATGAAACACATAAACTCCTTTTCTTTTGTGAAACACTTACAACTCGGATGGAGCTTTTAAAGTACTCCACGCTCCCTATTTGAGGAAAAAAGATAGCCAAACGAACAGTTGCAATGCTGTACCCCTTGGAAATCAAACAGTTGCAGCAATTCAAAGCAGCGGAAAATTGAAAACAGTGTGTAAGGATCAATCAAAACTGTTTTTCTTTTTTTTTTTCTGACAAAACACAGTACAAATCTGGCGAACCAGCGAAAGTGATGAAGGATGGTCAAATTTGGAGCGGAAGTTATAATACGAAAGAATGAAGAAGAATAATAGAATACACAACCATTTTTAAGGCCCTGTTTGATAAATTCATTCAGCACTTTAAACTTAATTGATTAAGTGCTTAATTGATTAGCACTGTTTGATAACACAATCTTGTAACAAATTAATTGATTAAGAACTTAACTAATTAAAGACTTAAATTTTAAGTGCGTTTGATAACTCAAAGTCGGATATCTTAATAAATTAAGTGCGTCTGAAAGACTAGTACAAATATGTGTCTAAAAATAAGTAATAGGCATATCATTTATATCTGAATTGAATTCTTGAAACTATTATTTTCCATATTTATTAACTTTTATGTTTATACTTTTGATGTTTTATCTCGAAACATTTTTGTTAATCTTGATGTTCAGTTATTTTTATTTAATAAATATTTATTTTTAATAAAAATAACTAAAATACATCAAAAGTCCATGATAAATATATATTTACCATGAAGATATGATTTTTTTTTCTTGATAATGACAAAGATATGATATTATTATTAACTAAAAAAATAATTCCATAATAAAATTTATATATTTTTATTGCATGATTTTATGATAATACTATTATTTTTATTATCATATTTTCACATACATCAAATATTTTTGGATAAAATTAATAAGTCAAGATATTTTAAATTTCAGTGTTCAGACTTCAGATTTCAGACATTTTATTCAGTTTTCAGATTTTGATTTTTATCAAACAAAGCAAACTTAATCAGTTCAGTACTTATGATTCAGTATTCAGATTTCAGATTTCAAACTCAAACTATGTTTTATCCAATGGGGCCTAAGTGTTTTTTTATCAGGAAGGGAAAAATGCGTATTTTTAGGTGTTTATTCAAATTATAAAATTTAAATATTTCAAAAAAAATATTTCATAAATCAAGTTAGAAAATACTCCATATTAATTCTTTCTTATTAATGACCTTTAGTTAAAAAATTAAAAAAAAAATTGGAATTAACCATATCATGGTTGCACGCTGCAAGTTAGGAGAACCATTCCAATTCAGTATTCCAATTCAGTAGTTGATCATTTATATATTGTTGAGCAATTACACAATCATAACCGGTAAAGAAGTACACTAAAATGATCAGTGGCATCTTCATGTAAAACCAATGTAGAACAACATAGGGTGGACTATTTTTCAATTGTCATTTGATACTTGGAATTTGCACTTGTTTGTGACAAATGAGTACTACTGGTTGTACTACGTTGTTCATATAACAACATTAATGGGGTACTCTTTGTCCCCTACGACCATAAACCTAGATCCTTCTTCTATCACCATCAGACCATCTTCATTAGCAGTGCTAAGGTGGTCACAAGGATTCAGTCTAAATTCAACTTCAGCTTTACCTCCAGCTTCCAAGCTTATGCTTTCGAATCCAATCAGTTGTTTTATTGGACTCCCATAGCTGAGTTTTTCCTGCCTGATATATAGTAGAACTGGATGCCTACCTGCCATTTCCTTAGAATTTTTAACTCCCACAACAACAGAAAACTTGACATTGTCACATGAGTTTTTGCTGATATCAGAGACTGAAAGATACCGAACCCCGTCTGAGCTTTGAGTTGATGGAGTGTCTGTCAAGTTGGTTAAGTAGATTGAACTTTGAGAGACATGCACAAAGTTGTATGCATATGTTGAATAGCTCAGGCCATATCCGAATGGGAATACTTTCTCGCCGTTATAAAATCTATATGTTCGGCCAGGATATCCTGACGATGGATTAGGCCTCATTCCCATGTTTGTCATTGGTATTTTGATGAAATCTTTGGGATACCAAGTAATTGGCAATCTTCCTCCTACATATAAGAAAAAGGAGAGTGTTTTAATTAACATTTCAAATGAAAAAGTTGAAAATCAATGACCTTAAATTTTTTGAGATTAAGTTTATTACCTGGATTGTGGTCACCAAAAATGATTTCTGCAAGTGCAATTCCTCCAGCTTGCCCAGGATAACCAGCCCACAAAATACTGCCAATTTTAGGATTATGTTTTGCAAAGGAAACATCAATTGGACTTCCACAAAACAGGACTAGTATCACTGGGTTCCTAGCAGCATCAGCAACAGCAGTGATCAGTCTCTCTTGTTGGCCTGGAAGCGTTAAGATTTCGCGATCAAAATCCTCTCTTTCTTCGCCCTTATCCAATCCCACGGCTAATACAACATAATCTGCTCCCTTTGCAGTGTTCACAGCATCGTTGATCGCGACATTGGTACAATTGACAGCATTGCAACCTTGATGAAACACAGTATTTTTCACATAGGTTTCCAATGCTTTAAGAACTTCAACAGTAATGCAAGGAGGGCCATGATAGTTTCCAAGCATCATATGTGAATTGTTCCCATGAGGCCCTATTACAGCTAGTGATGAAGTTTTCTTTGAAAGGGGTAGAAGCCTGGCAGAGTTCTTGAGCAAAACAATGCCATTTCTTGCAGCATCAAGGGCTAAGTCCTGGTGCTCCTTAGTGCAGACCTGCTTTGGACCAATGTTTCCATACACTAATTTTTTGGGATTTCCATTGAATAGTCCTAATCTCATTCTAACAGAGAAGAGGTTATGAAGGGCTCTGTCAATGTCAGATTCTTTAATCATTTTCTGTGAAAGAGTTGATTTTGTGTAGTTTGCCAAATAGGTTCCACAATTGACATCCATGCCTGTATCAAAGTCATTCCCAACATAAGAATCAATTAAAAGCTTCCCCTTTTCCCTTCTTTTTGGTGGGATAAAATGCGACAAATGCTGAAATGGATATGATACTACATTACAGAAATATACTAACCCCGCAAGATCAAAGGCAAACCAATGTAACAATCATTTAAAAGTTTCCTTTAATGTAATTGAAGTAAACAAGCATGAATAAGCACAAGATTTCTTTAATACCATCGCACTGACCATGCATTACCATAAAGTGACATTTCACTATTCAATATGATGCCTCATTTCATAACCTATTTGAAAATCCAAAATTCCAATTTTAATCCATGTCTGGGTACAAAGTACTTCCTTCGTCCCATAATTATTGTCCTGTTTGAGTTTTCATTTTTAGTTCAAATTGTACTAAAAGTGAAAATCCAAACTGGACAATAAATATGGGACGGAGGGAGTATTTACTAAGTTGCACATATGCTAAAAAAAAAAAATGAAGAGGAAAGGAGGGCCCACTCCACAAACCTGCTTTAAGCACATCAGCCACAGCCTCTTCCGGTGTTCTTGCATATTTATGATTTTCCTTGATGATACGCACACCATCCGCACAATCCGATGTGATGTACCTAATTATTCCCAGCAAAAACCAAATAACAGAAGGCAATTAATAAGTCAAAAACTAAATTGTATAACCAAAACACCCATGTAAGTTATTACTTATGTCATTGTTTGTTGTAACTAAAGCATCGTCTCAACAGGAATATACTACATTACATGTTTATCGGTTAAATTAGACTTATTTAAAGTGTGTCAAAATATTATTCATTAATTGGTCGTAACATGGTTTTTTCTTGGATTGCCCATTGATTTTGTGTTGACAACATACCCATGAAAGCCCCACTGTTGACGGGCGGTTCCGGTCAAGAGTTCCCGGTCGGCGCAGTTCGGAACACCGTTGACCCGATTATAAGCGCACATTATACCACTTGCTCGGCCTTCGTGAACGCAGCTTCTAAATGGTGGTTGATATGTATCCGCCAAATCTTGCTTTGTCACCTAAAATCATTTTCAAAAAAGAGAAAAAAACACTAAATTATTAAATTTGGAAAGAAAAAAGAAATCCAGCACCAATAATTTAGTCCCATTATTGAAATGTACTGCATTTCACTAAGACATTGTTCTCAAGATTCCTACGGTGAGAAGAAGATTAAGTGCACAAACAACATTTCAAGATTCTACATTCATTAAATCTGTAAGATATCCGCAACCAATTCTATTAATAATGTCTTTTAAGGAAAAAAGACCACAGTTCCATTAATTTTGTTCAACGGCAATTAGATAATTCAAGGACAAAAAATTTACACCAATTTTTAGTAACTTGATCCCTACCCTTTGCTTAATTCTACCTAATTCCTTCATGCAGAAACAGTGTGTTATTTCAGGAAACATGACAAACTTACCCATCAAGGATAACACAATAATTTTACTCATTTTCTATTCTGGATAACATTTCTTCTCATACTACAGTTCGCAATAAAAATTCTGAATCCAAATCATATTTAGCTATATTACAACAACAATAATTTTTCCCACTAGTTAAGATCCGCTATCCAATTAACTATATTAGAAATATAATTTAAGAGATTTTGATCTCCTTTTGTTACGTGGTAGTTGGAAAGTAAGACTCCATATGTCAGAAAATGCACATGTATTTTTGCCATATTGAATAATTTATTTATTTTAATTTTGTAATGCCACAAAAACATAGAAATTATTCTGCATAATTTTAAGAAAGAACTACTTTATAACAATTCTTCATTAAATTTCTTCCAGACAAAATTCTATTCCTTTTTTCCTTCAAAAAAGAACTACTTTATGGCTTATTATTGAAATATTTCTATTATTTTTTTTCGGTAGCACTGAAAATACACTAGAGATAGATAACTATATTACCTTACAAACCATAATGGCAAATAAATCATTATAAACAAATCATGGATCGCAACTCAGATGCAAAATTAGAGATTCGTTCCAATATTACTTCCACCAAAGAAAATCACAGAAATTAAAAATCATCATCTCCAAATTGAACATTTTTACGGCGTGGTTCCTTTTTTAACCTCTCGAATCCCAAATGAAATTTAAAATAGATAATTTCATGTATAGATGTGTAACGTTAAAATTTTCTAAGCTTAATAAATACTCCTAGTCTTTAAATAAATAGAGTCGCAAGTCGCGATGAGCTAAGTACAGAGCCGAATACTCATAAACCATTTCTCAAAAAAAGGATGACACAAAACAACATTCAAACTCACAACATTACAATTTGCCATAAATGGACCAATTACAAAATACAGTTCAGAATTTCAAAAAAGAGGCGGGTTCAGTTTGGTTAGAAACAGAGTACAGAGTACAGAGAAACAGAGTTCATGCAGAAAGAAAACAAGAATCGAAGATAGAGAAATTACTTACACGGGCATTGAAGCCATACCGATCATTTCCTTCCCAATTATCAAGATCATAGGCAGTGAAATGCTTGCAACAAGCTGAAGCTTTAAGTTGTCCATGTTTGAGCTTCCCACCATGGAAACTATCTCCTTGTACTCCTCTAACATACGCTACTGAATATCTCCCTACAACCAATGGATCTTCTCCAGGTGTTTCTTGCCCTCTTCCCCATCTTGGATCCCTGAATATGTTTATGTTTGGTGCCCAAAATGTCATCCCTTGCGCTTGCCCTCCATTGTACACTGCTCTCGCCTCTGTTCCTATCACCTAATTAAAATCATTTGCACAAAGAAAATAAAACACCATTAAGTTTAAATTCAGTGAAATTTGTCAGAAATTTCAATTGTATTAATAAAAGAATATACAAATACCTAGTTAGCTTAACTTCTAGTCGCTAATGCTAATCTTTTCCTTGAAATTAAAACTATTCAAGCAAATCAATTTTTAATTTTAGTTGTTTTTTTCCTTAAATAATGATCATGAATCTGAATAGGTAGAAATATTTTATCAAAATAAGTTGTAAACGTGGTGGTTGATAAATTTGTTTAATTCACTCCATTCTATCTTATGAATTATTGTACTAAAAAAACGAACAGTTCTCAAATTAAAACCTAAACTATTTTTCTGGGACGGAAGCGATTAATAATACCTGACCAATACGGTACCAAAGTCTTCGATCAAAGGAAGAAGTAGTGAGGAGGACTTGAGGGAAGGTGGTGACGGAATCAATGACGCCGACTTCGAAGGTAATGCCGTCCCCGGTGTAGGCGACACCGTGCAAGGCTTCCGACCACCACTGGTAGGCCGGAATACCGAGCCGTGGAATCGCGGGTGCGGTGGTAATGAGCTGGGAGATTTTCTCGTCCAGCGTTAAGCGCGACACCAGGTCGCGGGCTCTCTGCGAAATTGACAAATTGGTTTGGCAGAATTTGAAGGATTTGGTGTTTGAGTTGGATGAATCACAAGAGAACGGAGGCGGCGGAGTCGACGACTCGGTAATGCAGATGAATGTTGCATTAATGAAGACGAGATTGAGAAGAACTGTTAGAATCCATCTCTGAAGCTTCATTTTTGTTTGGTTAATGGAAAGAAAAGAAAAGAAATGGAAGCAAACTGAGGAGACACAATGAGTGAAGGGACGCAATATAAAGATGTTGAGTGAATGACTGAGTTACCCTTGTTTCAAGGCTTTTTTCTTTTTTTGGTAGTTTTTTTCCATGCTTTTTTGTTTCCTTTTAAACAAATAGAGGGAGATACTGTCTGTAATTGTACATTGTAAATTATAACCACTAAGCGGAGATGTCGGGTCATTTTTTTGCTTTGTCAGTTGTCATTTGTGAATTACTGAGTTACCATTGTGTCAAGTTGGTTGGTTTTTTTAAAAAAAATAAAAAATAAAAATAAATGATTAGACATGTAGCTAATTTTGGCTTTTAAATCGGCATCAGAAAAGTTTTTAGGGAATACTTTTGCTTTTTAAAGAGGAGTTGATCAATGGTGTATTCATTTTCAAAAAAGTTCCAATACGTGTAGTATCATGATAATTATTTGAAACATAATGGTCGTTTACACTTCTATGGCAATTAGTCCTTGAACAATTGTGCAACGAGTACCATCTATTAGTCCTTCACTTTTTTTAATATTTTGTTTTTGGTTCTTATTTGAGAAAATAAAATTTTAATTTTATCATGTCATGCCAATAGAACTGAGACACTAGTTACATGATAAATTATAGACTAATGATATTGCCAATTGCCAAAGTATAATAATTAGCTTTCAGAGCAAAATAATGACAAATTTTCTATACTGCCTGACGAAGCATGGATCTGCACGGTGCTTAGAGAGGGCGACGATGATGATCTATGTGGTGGCAGACGGCCTAAAACCTACAAGACACAGCCTCGAGTGTCTCCCGATGGTAGACTCTCTAATCCTTAAGTCAATAAAGGAATAGAGATAATAGAGAGAGGGATATGTATTGTGTGTAGAAGGTGCAGAAGATAGGTAAAAGATGTGTATTATGGGAGAGGCACCACCTCTTTATATAGAGGTGGTCTTACATGTTTTCTAAAACCCTAGCGTAATAGGTTTAGGCGGTGGCTTAATCTCCAAGTAACTTAATCTTAGGCCCAATAAGCCTAGGGTTCAGTTTGGACTCGTCAAGTGCCCCTAACAAGCCATATTCTCGAGACTTAATGAGAAGAATATGGTTTACTATGAGTGTTGATGTCTTCTCGAGTTTCGTGGTGTTATCCCAATTCTTGAACTTTTTCGTTCTCGGTGTCACCTATATAAGATAAAGAGAATAAAGTGCCTCGGGGAATTCTTTGTATTAGTGAGTTCCTGATTTGGAGGGAGAAGCCTGTGTATGCCGAATTAGGAGGTTAGCGCCTAGATGCCAAATTCGGAGGATAGCACCTGGATTTCCTTATTTGAAGGGAGGAACCCTATATGTTTGGATGTTTGAGATGCGATAGGTAATGTAATAATGTAATGACATACAGTAATAAGATGATTATGAGTAATATCAGTTCGAGCAGAGGATATTAGGATGATCACTCAAATTCCTTGCCCTAAGGGTATGTCCATGTTTGTGCCCCGAGTATGTTTTTCTCGTTGAAGGGTATAGGGTTTTACCGCGAGAGGGTTTGTAACTTGAAGAACTCCTTTGATCGTGCTTAAAAAGATATCTTGATATGATAATAGTAATATGCTAATGATATCAGCAGTATATTGGTTTAGATTTGAGAAATATATTTTAAAAAGTTTGAGAAGTATTAAGTCTTGAGATAAATTGATTATTCAAGAAGGTGTTACCTCGATTCCGAGAAGGTATTATGAAAGACAAGATACGTCTTCTCGAATACTTCGAGTAGTAGTATGGTCGAGGGATGCTTACCCCTTCGAGGAGATGTATCTTTCGAAACTTTAATTTTTGAGATTGCCCATTACTTCGAAGTACTTGAGAGCTTATCTGTAAAATTATAAAAGTATTAGGGTTAATTAACCATAAGATAAAAATCGCCCCTTGTCGGCTTGTTTGTCGGTTTCTTTAGGTCGGCATAGAAGTCGATAGTGTCTTCATCGACTTTGTCGTCGGCTAGAACAACTTGACAAAAACGTTGAAAGAACTGTCGCCGATCGGATAGTCGATCGAAGGAAGTCGGCGCGGAAGTCAACGGTCGTCAGTATGAGAAGTTTCAAATTCTTGATTTTGGCTTTCGTGTACATGGATTTGCACATTAAATCAACTCGATGATCACCGTGAAGAACAAACAAATTTTGGCTTCTTTTCAAGAAATATTTGGTTGTGAAGACCAAACAAATCGGTCCCACTGGGCGTGTCACTTGACGAAGCCTGGATCTGCATGGTGCTTAAGGAGGGCGGCGATGATAATCTATGCTGCGGCGGACGACCTAAAACCTGCAAGACAGAGCCTCGGGTGTCTCCCGAGGGTAGACTCTCCGATATTTAAGTCAATAAAGGAATAGAGATAATAGAGAGAGAGAGAGATGTGGATCGTGTGTAGACGGTGTAGAAGATAGGTAGAAGATGTGTATTATAGGAGAGGCACCATCTCTTTATATAGAGGTGGTATTACCTGTTTCTTAAAACCCTGGCGTGATAGATTTAGGCGGTGGCTTAATCTCCAAGTAATTTAATCCTAAGCCTATATGGTTCAGTTTAGACTCATCACTGCCCTAACAAGTCAAATGTTAATTTTGCACCCCCTCTCATCTCTCCATTCCGCCTCCCCATAACCAGTATCCAGTAACCACCATTCTACTCCCAATCGCCTCTGCTTCATCTCAAATGCATCACCTTTCATGTTATTTAACCAATTCTTTCTCATCATCTTCATACTAGCTAAGATGGAAACACTATCAATATTTATCAAATTCAGGTTCGACAAATAGAGGGATTCAGTTTCGGTTTGCCGATCGCGTCATGAATCAGAAGAATTGACTAAAGCAAATATCCAGGGGAAGTTGGGGAGGTTGCATGGTAATCAATGAGGGTGAAGGGAAATAAATATTTTCTATAGAGAAAACTTTTTGAGAGAATCGATTTGTTCCATATAGTTGAAGTGCAAATTACTAGTACTCTACAAAAATTATTATCGATCTCTAGCAAAAAAGTACTTCTTAACAGATGGAAAATACCACAAACTATGGCAGGTTTTAAAAATTTGGGGCAATAATGTATCTGATTGTTGTATTGTTGCAAACTAAAGTAATGCATGCAATTATATGCCTTGAAAATCGAAGTACATCTTGCAATTTGGAACTGCCCAGAGCCATAAACGAAGGGAAACAACATATAGAGTGAGGAGGCGGAAGAATGGAGCCGGGACAGATTAAAATAAGCTTACTTAGACCTAAAGGAAGATGCAATTTTTTTTTTTCTCCAAAAACTAATTATTGCTCCAGAAATATCACCGACCTAAATCGAAACGCTAAGGGATAAGTGCTAAATTAGATATATTTTTATGCTCTCATTCGTTATGTTTTTAATAAGAATTTATATCTTTGAGTTGAATTTGGTACTTAAATAAAGTTATAATGACTTGCAGGAAACAAATTCTCTTCTTGAAGAATAAATAATGAATTATTGAAGTTTTGGACTTAATTGAAGATGCAAGGAATGAAAGAGAAAGAAAGTTGATGAGTTGAAGACTTGGGGACAAAACAACAATTTTGGACCATTAGTTTTTGGTGGACCGTGAAGATGCTGAACTTAAATTGACTTGTTGGCTGAAGTCAATTGATTTGGGTCAAAGCTTGAAACATAATAGTGGGCTGATCAGAGTTAAGAAAAGCTTAAGGAAGCCCATACTTGTTGATTTGGACCAAGCTTTTTAACCTCTCTTGCTGCCCATTGCTGAACTTACAACCGAGAAAGAAAAAATTCAATTTGCTTGGGCCACATGAGCTCATTGACTGAAGTCCAAACCTACACCAAACCCAATTTTCTTTCTTGAAAAATAAGCCACCGACTGAACCAAGAACTACTATAAAAGGGGGCTTGTTCTATTATTATTTGGAGAGAACCGGACGCGCAAAAGTTCACTATCAAAAGAAGAAGCAGCCGCGCTTGGGGAGGAGCAAAGCAACATCGGCGGACGCAATCTTCTTCCCGGTTCCATCCTTCTTTTATTTTGTTTTATTATTTATTTTAGAATAATGTGTAGTAGCAAAATATTTTTAATCTAGGGTTTTGGTTGTAGTCGCCGTACTATTTAATTTAATTTAATTCATAATTGTGACTTTTTCATTAGTTGATATATAATATTCTTGTTTTTATTCCATGTGAGTATTTGATCACCACTTGCATGCTTTAAAGGTGTTTAACTGAAGGAACGACGGTTGAAGGTTAGCACTAGTTTATGGGAATATTAAACTTAGATAATGGGCCACGATAGTAGAAACACCGTCTTTGCAGCTATACATTCTAGGGTTCTTAATGTACTCTAATTAAATCTTATAGTCACGACAGTAATCATAGGGTTAGTTTGAGTAAGATGAATAGTTCTTAAATAGGTGAATCGTTGTAAGATTAATGAAAGTCCAAAGTCATATATCTATAGGTTGGGTTAAACTGAGTAGTCGATAGGTGAACCCTTTGCCTAGATTTTCTTTTATTAATTAGATTTCATTATTAGTATTAGGTTTAGTTTAATTTAAAATCATTATTATCAGTTGTCTAAATAATAATAAGAAATAAATTTATACCTGGTAATTAGTGTTCCTTCTCTGTGAGTACGATCTTATTTTCCGCTATACTAGTGTTAAATAGGTAAATTTATTTGACTAGTTGTGACGACTGCTTGTCATTAAGTAGAGATGTCAAGAAATTTTTTCCCTTTGTTTCAATTTTTTTTCTTTAATAATAGCAAAGGAGAAGATAGCCTCACGAACTGGTGAGCAGGAGACAAAAGCACATCAAGCAATCTCCGTCCAAGAAAATGATACAAAGTTTCAAGCCAATCTGAAAAACAAAATGTTTTGGCAAAAGGAATCCATGAAGCCTCTCAGTTGGCTAAATTTAAGAAGTTAGCAAGATTGTATTCTCTTTACTTTTTAGTTTTAATTGAGCCAGTGGTAAGCATTTTGAATAATGTAGTAAAAAAATCTGACATTTTGCAACAACTGAATTTGAAAAAAAAATAATGCAAAACGGAGTCTAGCATATACAATAGGAAAAAAAATTATTTTGCTACAATTCATTACGTCCCAAAATTATTGTCTAGTCTGAAGGGAGTATTTTTTTTTTGTGTACTAATGAAACTCTTCTCGAAAATTTTAACTCGAAACGGAACGCGACTGATCTGTTTATCCAGCTTGTCCATACCACATCAGCTTCCTATTTTCATTTATTAAATTAAAAAAAAACAAATATTAATAGAGAATCCTTAGAACAGTTCCTGACTCCGTCAATTCAATCGTCCAACGACAACCGTCACCACCGCCTAGGTTCCAAATCTGCATCTAAAATTGATTTTGATAATTTTGATTAAGGTCTCCAATTGATGAGCGGTTATGTATGTATTCTCTACGGATTGATAATGTTTTAGTCTTCTCCGCTATGCCAGTGCCGGATTATACTGCCGCTGAATTAAGGCGGTGAAGCAAAGAAAACTAATAATTAATTTAGTATTGCAACTTAAGAATTCACATTGTACATTTTTTGAGGGATATTTTCTCGTATTCCTTTAATGATTTTGTGAAACAACTGAAAAGGCTACTTGGAATCAATTATTTGAGAGACTGTTTTGGAATCTCAGGTGGCGGTGACGGTTTTCAATTGAATTGCCGGAGAGAGGAACTGCTCCAAGGTTTTTCTAATTTTTTTAATTTATTATTAAATAAAAAATGGGAAGGTGACGTGGTCTGGACAAGCTGGCTAGACATGTCAGTCGCGTTCGGTTTGGAGTTAAAATTTTCGAGAAGAGTTTCATTATTATTATTATTATTATTATTATTATTATTATTATTATTATTTTGGTTACAAGAGAAATACTATAATTAGCGCAATCTATAGTGGAGTCGCATAGCCCAGTTGGTAGAATTTGGTAAAAGAGGCTCTCACATGGGGTTAAGGGGATATGTTTTCAAAAAAAAATCGCAATCTATAGAATCAATCATTCCAATTATTGCTAAGGGTTCTTCTTTTTGTTAATTTTGCTGCTCAAAAAAGCAATATAAACTCGTCTGTCACTTGTAAAGAAGTCTGCAAAATCTATAGTCTTACATTTGTGGGAAAAAAAATCATTTCACACCAAACCTAAAGATCCTCCTAATCAATTAACTGACACCAAATTAAGCAGAAGACTAAAACTCAAAATCAAATCAACCAGACTTCCTTTTCATGCTGAGCAAGTACTCAAATGAAGGTTGACAAAAACTCCCGTCAAGAATTTCCTCTGACACAGCTTTATACATGGCCTCAGTGAGATGAACACCATCCCAATTCACATACTCAGATGGGTTTTTGCAGGAAGTCGCCATTGTGGTTCCACAGGTATTAAACACATCGAAATTGTAAGGAGCGGAACTATATCCACAGCAAGCTTTGAATAGCTCTGTAATGCCATATTTCTTGGGATTTTTCACCACTGTCATGTAGGCATTCCAGTAGTCTGCATATACAATGACTGCACCCGGGAATCGTTTCCTGAAATCATTCAGCTTCGATTGAAGGATCGCGTTGTGATTATAGCTTTGATCGTTTGAAGTTTTCACGCAGCCGAATGAATCCCTGTCGGTTTCAGCTGCTAGAGCCATTGCTAGTGTTAGGCAACCTGTTGAAGGCAGCCCTTGAACAACAACATACTTTGCTCCTTTGTTCATTATGGCCTGTTTTATATCAAATCATACCAACAAATTCAGGTCAGGCACTCTACTACTTACTGCTAAAATTCAGTAATTGTGTAAAGACAATATTTTTCAATTGAGTTATTGAATTGATACTAACATCGTATCACTTTTAGTGTAACACTATACTTAGTGCCTCTTAAAAATCAACATGGTATTCTATGACTTACAGCTAAAATTCAGTAATTGTGTAAAGACAATATTGTTCAATTGAGTTATTGGATTGAAACTAACATCGTATCACTTTTAGTGTAACAGCTATACTTGGTGCTTCTTAAAAATCAACATGGTATTCTATATTTGATATAGGAGAATAGTGATAAAACACGTGTCAAAAAAGGGTATTAGTGTCACAGAAGATCTTAATAGCACTCCGAAATTGAACTAAATGTGCAACATTTAATCTCATACTTCAACACAATAGATCTAGAAAGCGAATTAAGTACAAGATGGTGCCACCAAATCATAAATGCAAAAGACTTCTTAGTAGGTGCAGAAATTATTACCTCCAAGAAACGAGTAACACTACCAATGGCAAGCTTCTGAACAGTAGCCTTTGAAACAGTAGATCCAAGGATATATGCATAATCATTGGCACCGATTTCCCCAACCCAAATCAAAGAATCATCAAATACTGCTTTGCATTCCTTAGGTGTGGCTGACTTATCTTTACACCCTTTGCTCTCCAGAACCGAGTTGAACCAAGCAAGCTGAGTCAAAAGTGATTGAGGGGTGATATCAAGTGTAAGGTTATTCTTAGCAAAGAAACTATGAATTATGGCAGTTGATCCAGCAACAGCAAAATTCACACCAGATGATTTATCTGCTGTTTTGCTAAGATAAGGTGGCAAGAAGGGTAGTGAAAGCTTTTGAGCCACAAAGTCAATCACTAGCCTTCCATCAGAATACCTATTTGTAGGATGATGGAAGTAAGTTTGGCCATATGGAGGTCTTGAGACAGACATAAAAGCATTTGGACCAGTGGATGAGTTTGTGTTGCCAGTGTCAGTGTAGGAATCTCCAAATGCATAAATGTATTTGAAAGGTTGATTTGATGATGATTGATGATCATGAAGTTCTGTTGTTGTTTTGGTTGTTATGGCAGAAGTAGTAGCAAGGAAATATGAATTTGAAGATAAGATGAGGAATAATAAAGAGGTGAATGTTAGGAGGGGGGAGGAAGAAGAAAGATTAGCTGCCATTTCTTTTGGGAAGAAGGGAAGAGATCATAGGAATTGGAAAAGGTAGAAGTTGGGTGTGGTTTTATAGCAAAAGGAACTAAAAATTTGTGCAATCTAGAAGACTTAATTAAAGTTGACATTACAGTTTCTGATCACCATCCATCTACCTCATAATGAAGGAGATCTGAAGCATGTTTGCATTTGTATGTCTGTGAATTGCCGCTGCAAATTTAAGATTATTTTGTCATTATTTACAATGACTTCGATTGTTCCACTAAATATGTCAGCAGCTGATACAAATGTTGGTCCTATGCAACCGTTACCAATCATATTATATCGCTGAAAGTCCGAAACAGCGGTGAGAATTATGAGGAATTTATTGTGTAAAAATTTTTGGGGAGAAACAGTTAATGAGGTTGTTGGAAGGCGTGGGATATTAAGAATGTCCAACCATCACTGCCAAGCTGCCAATTTCGGCGGTGCAGAAATGAACCAGTACTAGGAAAATTTGTACCATACCTTCTGTATTTTGGTGTTTACATTTTCCTAAGAGTCCACATATATGTTTGGAGTTGGTCAGTTTTCACGTTCATCGTTTGACATTATTTTGTTTTGAAATTGAGTGCGTCGTTTCTCCTTTTTAGATAACTGCCGTAGAGGAATCCGATTAAAAACGATATATGTATACACGTAAAAATTTGATTAGTACTATAGTCTAAGTAATGTAAAACATAGGTGATTTCCGAAGGATTCTTTGCTTCATAAATATGACTCCTCAGAGCTTCTGTTACGATACACACATCATAAGTTCGAAAGAACTCAAAACTCAAGCCTGAAAGCATAACTCCGTTGACTTATATTTACACCCCAAACTAATCAGTGAGACTGTGCGAGCAAAATGAGTGTTAGTAGTTCTATTTCCTGACTATTTTGAGTTCAACTGTCAAATGGGATAAAAATACACAAACCAAAGCAACTCATGCAGGCAGTTATAAAAACTAACTGCAAACTCTCTGACCATCAGATGATGTGTAAAACTACACCTCAACGTTTGCTTTGTTCCCAGCTAAAATCAGGGAGATCTCCAATCCGCGACTGAAGGCTTGGTTAAAGAGCAAGCGAGACTGGAAAGTGGAAATGAATGGGAACCAAGATAACATTGCAATCGGGGCGAATATCAGCATGCCCATCCCAGCATCATACATTCGGGCAAACTCTTTCACTGAATCCCAAAGCCCTAGGCTCCTCACGATCTTCTTCCAAGTGATTGCAAGCTGGCATCAAACCATGTACGGGAACAGTTCAGAGCATGCAGACTTGAAAAGTATTGTAAAAAAATTAAAATTAAAACAAGAACAGAATGACATCATGCACATTGAATAGATAGAAAAATGCATAAAGCACATGAGATGGTTAGTGATGCAAGAAACTGTAGCAAACTCATAATATATTTCAAAACCATGCATGTAGATCGAATAGATTGCAAAATCAATAAAGGGTACAATGCAGGTACTGATGAAAGAAACTGTAACAAACTCATAATTTATTTCAAAACATCATACTCCAGTACAAAGAGATTGCTAGTTGTGTCAATGATAATGCAATGAGACATCTCTACATGCATGTCCAAACTCTTAGAATGCAAAGACACTAGTGTTGTTAGATACTGCAAAAATATATTGGAGAGAGAGAGAGAGAGAGAGAGCGAGAGAGAACCCAAGAAGCATGCAAGTTTATTCACTTACACATATAACGGCCCATCCGGTGGGAATAAATGCAAGCACACTGGCAAACAAGTCCGGCACAGAGAGTTGGGTAAAGACCACCACAAGGCAAAGGGCAGCGATAAGTCCCAATGATGTAACTCCTTGAGTAAATCGGAGCATCAGTTGGAAGTTTGTGGACCTTTTAGGGCTAAAAGTGAAAATCTGCAGAAGGTAACAATCAGTAACTGGAATATATATGTATTTCATAACAAGGTAGAAGATCTAGTAAAGAAATAAGTCCAAGAAAAAGCTAAACAAAGGTAACCTTAAAAACCAGGACGATTCCGACCAGGACGATCCAAGAGAAGCCATAGATCTGAGAGGTGAAATTTATTTTAATGTCATGATGGGGAGAAGAACATAAATAAACAGGACGAACTTAGACCACCAAGCATCAACCCAATATAGTGAAAATAAACATCTATTCATATCTCAGAGAAGGCCAAATGCATAAAGGGGTATACAGTTTCTAGATTCTATAAATAAGAAAAAAGTGTAAACTATAAAAGAAAAACTAGACTCTGGCGGATATGCCTTTGAAATTGATGGTATGATAAGGAATCAGACATAGTAAAAAGTAGGTTTTCAGGGGATCATAATACATGTGCAGTATTAAGAAGAAAAATACCAAACATACAACTTAATTTCACATCTCGATATAAATACTCTTGCAGAATGAGAGAAGAACTGTACCGCAAGTGAAGTGTCACTCCCAGTTAGTTTGAGCTTGTATACAATTCCGTATTGAAATATAAAGAATCTTAAGCTTAAAATGGTCTCTAGTATACGTCCTCTCAAGGTCTGGATATGCATCTGTGAAAGAAAAATTTCGAAGAAAAATCAAATGAGTAAAATACGACAACAAAAGTTCAAAAGAGACAGGCAAAACAATTTGTATGAAATTGATGTTACAGTCCAGTTACATAGTTCCAAAGCTATAAACCACTCCCAGGAAGGTTGAAGGGAAAAACAGAAATGTCGATAACTTGGTTCTGAAAGGGTAACGGGTGCATAGCAAAGTTCACTGCGTGTTAGCATAACATGATCATTGTTCTTTTGAGGAGAATATCAAAGAGAGCTTATGTAATACACCTGTTCTTCATCCCACCAGGACTCCCAGCTACTTTCACCCTTAACACCGACTCCACCTTTATACATCAGCCAGCTCGTCCAATCATCAAAATCCTCCACAGTCCTGCCACATATTTGCAAATTTATTAGTTTAACATCAAACCAAACGCAACGAGAATATCCAGCTCTACAAGTGAGATGAATAACTAGGCTTCTTCTCATCCTATTGTTCCTCTTCTACCACTGCCTCTTAATGTTATTTACTGGGATCTACGTATGTGGTATGCATGAGTATCATGCAACAACGTAGGTAATTATTCAAAATGCAATGCCCCCTTAAAATATTACTTCTCTTCAGCAAGCCTGCATCAATTATATGTGAACCTCAACTAAGATGCAAAGAGTGTATACAGCAGACAAACTTTAACATTCAAGACTTACAACTACAATCTAATAAGGAAGAGATCTTACTTTTGCCACTCAAAGCCAGATGGATTGAAGATGTAAGGAGCAAAGAGCCATGATATTACAAGGAACCAACTGCTCAGAGTAAGTAAAATAAAAGAGACGGCATGACCTCCATCTACATAGCCATAAGCAATGTATACTATAAGAAGCAATGCCACTTCCAGCCTACAGGGAGAAAATACAGTAGTTAACCTCTTAACAGACTAAGTGAAAATAAGAAGCATAATCAATTTAATCCAGACTACTCACGCCTTGACAAAATGACTTCTTGAATACAGCCGATAATTTTCCGCAAATTTTATGTGTTGCACAACAAATCCTCGTCCAGTTGGTCGATACTGCATTTCACAAGAGGAGGTGAATAACTCTAGGAACTCCGCGGAACGAAAAAGACTGCTTAGAATTTACCTACCTTTGCACCTCCATGCAGGATGGTACGCCCAAAGTAATGTGTTCTGGTTCCCAAAGAGAATGTGAAGAAGACAGAACATAGTTGAAGTTGCATGGTGACAAAGCTAAAAATAGCCTGCAAAGTAATGGAAGATTAACAGGGCTGCTTGGTAGATGATACTTTTTATACACACCCCCCCCCTAAAAAAAAAGGCAAACAAATAGAAACAAGAAAAGGAGAAACTTTGAGACTTTGATAATAATGCTTAGCACCTGAAGAGATACAAAGCAAAGAAAACCATTTTTATAATATTAGTTATCTAACCCAATGCAGGACAGAACACCTAAGAACAATAATAGATACTGATGCTTTTATAAATTTTGCTGTGAGAAAAAAGTTCAGTCTTTAAAAGTAACGGATCCCAAAGTTATTTCAAATGTTAGGGGATATTATGACTTGGAATTTCTACATATAATGAATCCTTAGGTTATCTTCTTCTGCAAAATTTTTATTAATTAGTAGTCTACTTTCACCCTTTGTGCCTGGCTTTGATGCAAGGAACAATAGCAAACTCAAACGTAGCAAATGAGAGGTAGTGAGAAGCAGAAAGTTGATAAAACTTTAACGTCAGTGTAAAAGATATAAATCTGAGGATTAAAAGCAGCTCAAACAAACCTTCAGCAAGCCAAGCTCTAGTATGAAGCCCATTATCATAGGAACGGCAGTGAAAACTCCAATTTGGACCAAGAATTGAGCATTTAAAACAGCATCTATTGCAGTATTCCCCAATATTTTAGCTTCTTTAGAAATCCCCCTATCTACTCCAGAAAACGCCTGAAATTTAAGGAAAAAAACTGGCTGTTTAGTCCGTAGTATGCATTAACAAAGTAGCTAAAGGATCAACAGATGAACCCAACTGCATGCTGTTGACTGCTTAAATTGATTTTAAATGATGAAACACCCTCATGCCCACTGAGTCAATCTATCAAAACCGTATCACAGAGCAGGTTGTGAAAACCAATAACATATTGTTTTCGAATACAAAAGAAGGTAGCATTTAACTTGTGCATAAAAACTACCTTAAACTTTACTCAAATCTAAGTTGGACATTTCATTTATACTTAACTCATCACACGTAATTCACCTGCAAGCTTCAAGATTATGCGATTGGAGTGAAGTAGTTTTCATGGAATTAGATACTTCATGTAGCACATCATATAGCTTTAATCCTGATGAAGAGATGATCCCAGCAAAATATGACAAGGAAAAAAGCAACCATACCAACAATAATACGTCGTAGTACAAGCAGGTTCAAACAAATACCATGTAGATTCAGCGTACTATTGAGCAATTTTCTGAAACAAATTTCATTCATAACTACCAAAAGGGAACCATAGAACACAAGTAGTAAAATGACTTACAAGATATGCTCTTCCATAGAGAAATATATATACTGTCAGAACAGTCATCTGCAATCCATAAAAACATTTATGAGAACTCCATATTCTAAGAACACAAATGGACACCGCAAGAAGCGTGAAAGAAATGCTATACCATGGTGCAAACGTAATAACCGACAGTGGTGAAATAGAATGACAACATTCGGAAAAAATCAAAAAGTTGTCCCAGCCGGTAAACATCCCTGCTCAGAACTTGTTCTCCGTTGCCACCAGCAACCTTGCCTTCAAATGTTGCAATTTGGTTCAAGCCTACATCTCTTCCCTTTCCAACCTATATGGTTAAAAAAATTTAGTAGAATAAGTTAGTCCTTTGGGAGGTAGCATAGATGATGTTCATCAAACAGATACAATAAACTGCCGCACCTGAATATACTCATGATGAGTAATATTACCCTGCCTCAGCGTTGAATTAAACCCTGTAGTTGGAGAAAATATCATTAAAGAAACCATCAACCCATTAAGATACATGGATGAAACCCTGAAAATAGCTAGAAGGCGAAATTATATTATTGAAGTCCAACAACTACAGTAGCAGCTCCAACAATACAAAAAAAAAAAAAGCAATGCACGGTATTGGGCAATTTATTTACTTCTACAATCCCGTTACTATGATCATGTTCGACAGTACAAGCAATAAGCAGAATTGACTGGGAACACAACACATTTAGGTTTGGAAATGTCCATTTTCATAATCAAACTACAGGACATTTTCACATAGACTTTGAAATCATCAAAAGCATTTAGGAATAGAAATAAATCTACAGCCCCAAGGGAGAATATAAAGAACTTCACTCCCCATATTTTAAATATTCAACAACCAAATTCCTTATTACCACCAAAAGTAGGATGGTGAAGAAAAGATACTCCAGTCCTTTGTTACCGGAATCGCTAGAATGAAAAAACTAAGTTAATTGTCTTGAATGTACACACAAATTCCTAATTCTCCCTACTGAGCATCCGTTCACTTCTACATTAAATTAATCTCATCCATCGTTATTGCTTTTATTCAACATTGATATTAGACACCACCATGCTATAGATAAACATGTTAAGGGAAAATAATACATTTATTCGGGATAAATTAAGGTAAAATTTGGTATTAAAAAATTAAAGCTCCTTAGCAAATTCAAAATGGCATGTCCAAAATAATGTACAAAACTTCTTAAATATACTTTACACTTGGGAACAGGGGAATATATAATGACTAAACAATATAATGCAAAGTATAGAACTGGTCACATGGTTGGAAAAAAACTTTAACTTCAGGTTGTATATTTTCGAGGCAACAAATCCTAAAAGCACCAATATGAAAAACATAGCGAAGCTTTAAGAAGCCTTTCCTGCAGCCCATGCAGTTACATGGCAGTTGAAGCTGGTTACAAGACAAAAGGTTTTACTAGATCTCTGAACAGCTTCATACACCACCGTTAAATTCCGGAATTTTCGAGGATGTAGAAGCAGTTAGCAGTTATTAGTGTTTAATTTGCATACCTACCAAACTTTGTAAACTGAGAAGAAAGTTTTCGCGGATGAAAAAGTCAAAAGGTTGCACTACCATGGAGTCCAGAGTTTCTCAGAAAAGTTTTAACCCAAACATCAATCCGACCAAAAAAAAAAAAAAAAAAACAACAAAAAAGAAATGAGCACATAAAAAGTTGTCAAACATTGCATCCGTGGTAAAGCAAGTATTTTGATAACCTAATGCACCCATAAAACTCCATTACCTGCATAGATATCTTCACTAATATTAATCACACGCGATGCTTTACTAATCCCACCACGAGTAATATGAAAAACACGATCAAAGACATCTGGGTGACCATAGTGCATACGAACTCTGCACAAGCACAAATGTCACAGAAACGGGTTAAATTCACCTTCAGGCAATACTCCAAGTTCAATACCTTAATACAAATGTCATTTAATTTTTGAGGGAACAATCCAATCAAGACTGGCAGTTGATGCAATTCTTTTTAATAAATCGATGCTACAGTTAACAAGATCAGCGTCTCTTAACAATAAAAAGGTCTACAGATGATGTATTTTCTAGAACACTGAAAATCCTTTGCAAAATTTCATCCTTGTTATTCTCCCCTATGAATAGATTTTCACGATCACAACAACCTAAGCAATGCCATTCACTCAAGCAATGAAAAACATAAGCTTAGATGTTCAACTGAATTCAGAATAACAACTTAGTAGATAACAACATAGAGGAATGGCAGTCACCATCAGGAAGAAACTAACAGAGAAGTGAATGTTTAAGAACTGATTGAACTAAAAAAGGATGGATATTGAAACTGCAATTCATGCTTTGCTACACTAAAATTGTTCAGGATAAAAATAACAATAAACATATCAGAATTTGAACTACTTACTTGAGAGGTTTTGCCAAAACCCGCTGGCCCAGTGTCACGAAGCTAGTCTCTTGGTTGGACATGAACCAAGCCAAAGAAGAAACACTGTGTTTCAAAAGGAAAACAGTTATGTGGTTATTTATGCAAATTGATGACGAAGACTATGTGTTCATCAAGACAATTTAGGATGACAAACCTTCCTGTGAAGACATGCTCTCTCACTCCAAGAATAGTTGGAGGGCGAAGTCCGTGTTTTCCACGAAATTCCTCAAGCAGGTTCCTCAATTTCATGGCTTCTTCAAGGTAGTTATCCTGCAAAACCAGAAAATTACTAAGAGGCAGGACAGAACCACTTAAAAAAAAAAGAAGGCGTCATAAGGAATCTAAAAGCACAGGTAGTAAATTATTGTGTCAATCAAGAAAGCACAAGTAAGGTAAAAATCGCTGATGAATCTTTAGAATTTGTCACAACAACAAGTCTTAATTGATTTACAGATATAATGGATATTCAAAATGAGGCCAACGCAAATCAGATTGCATTAGGGGAAAATCATGAGAAAAGTAATGGCAAACAATTTTGAAATTTCTGGGATACGATCTTTCATCAGATATCTCAAGGACTTAATAAAGTTTCGAAATGCTTAATCCACGGTTCTGATTTCTGAAATCTAAATTCTTAATCAGAGAAAGCTCTTCCCATGTATTTTTTTAATAATATCGGGCCCTGAGGTGCATTAGTTTCTGATACGACAACATACAGAAAGCACAATAAATCCTGAAACCAAAAAATCATTATATCAAGTCCCATAACTCCTCCCACCAAATCCAATATAAAAAATCAAGAAGGGCCAACCACTAATAAATGAAGGACAAAAATAAATACAAAAATAGCAATCTGCATTAAGCCTATTGATATAGCTCATCATCGTCATCTGGAATTTGCATGAAAAACATCATACGTCAGAATATCACGTTAAAAAAAAAAAAAAAACTAAAAAAACAACCGAAAAGAAGTTCTACTTCTAACATTTCCTGCAGTAACCATACTGAGCACTTCCATCTTCCAATAATCCCAATTAAACTAAAACAGTGGATCTTTCCATGGAAAGAAATGGCACCAATAAATTATCATTTGCAGAAGGACATTCAACAATTTTTAGAGCACTATGATTGTCCTTTAAATTCTGGCTTTAAGGCCATACTGATAATGAGTACGATGTATCCATCATCAAGATACTGCAAGCAGAGATTTCCCATTTACACTACCAAATAGGTAACACGGAGAGACAAAATTCTGATACGATGTGAGAAAGAAATTCAAAAAGAAAATAAAAGGGTGCAGCAGAACCACGGGATCAGGCTACCAAGAGAACCCCACCTCACTGCAGCAAATTTTTTCTTTCTCATGTGCACATAAGAAGTTAAGTAAATGATTAAAAGTTTATCACAGATCTCGAGATAAATAGAAATTTACCTGATTCATGTCAATTGTTTGCACAGCATCACCACGTGTAAAAATTATTGCATGGTTTTGGTTTTCAGGCTTTCCCTCCCCAAGTTTTGGATCCCCAGGGAGTTTTATCGAAAATATTTCCTGCATATGAGAATCACTCATTTAATAAAGATGAGAATAAATCAAACGAACCAGTAAATTAACAGTACACAAATTGCAGAAAACACTTGCAACATTAAATCTTATTCATAAGCAGGAAAAAAGAACCAAAAAAAATAAATAAATAAAACAAAAAAAAGATAAGCACGTCAAATATTTCAAGATAAGCAATCAAAGCTGTGGAAATAGAATTCCTGGTTAAACATTCAATCACCTTTCAGAATGAAAAAACAAATATACAGGCAATTAGCTACATGATCCTTTTAGTGTCCATCGGGTAGGTACATTTTTTGGTGGTCAATTCTCTCTCCAACAATTTAATCATTGAAGGAGCATGACCTTGTGAATATTACATATCATGCAATTCCAGCACCAAAAGATTAGGTGAACAATAACAGCACATTCAACAAAAGGGAATGTTAAGAAAGAACAAATTACAAATGTTTGGTGTATGTAAAAAGATTTACATCACATTTCAAAAGTACACAGGACATTAGAGCTAATCTGTGTTTAACTGCATGCAGATAGTCATCATTCCACATGGCAAGAGCAGTGTGATGAAATCAGAAGCTAACTTAAGTATAATACATCTTGATCAAGTTTCAACGTTAATCAGTAAGCAATGGGTCTTAACATAACAAGCTGCACCACAAAATGGTCAAGAAAACAATAAAATGAAGAACAATTTCCCAGCAGAAGCTAACTTAAGTATAACCCATCTTGGTCAAGTTTCAACGTTAATCAGTAAGCAATGGGTCTCAACATAACAAATCACACCACAAAATGGTCAAGAAAACAATATAAGAATGAAGAACAATTTCCCAGCAGGTAATTTAATGGAATTAAAAAATCAGCCACTGAGGAAACAATGAACATTACAGATCCACGGAATGAGGCGAGAAAGGAAATCAGATTATCATTTCAAGATCGTAGAAAGAAAGAAATTTAATGTGCCACTGATGTAATATATTAAGAAAACAAATTCTCTTTCTTGTCTACAAGTGCCAATTGCTAACCTGAAGATCATACACGTGAGAACTTTTCACTAAATAACTTATTAGATACCAGAAGGTAATTAGTCTTTGTTAAGCTAATTTGCTTCAACTTCACGGAATTCACACTACATTCCATCTCAGGGATCGTTATAGAAATTCCATCAACATCCAGTATAGCTTCCCTCAAAATTCAAATTCTAAGAGATTCAAAGACGATGCTAAAGAAAGCCATTCAAGAATCAAGAGCACTCCATACCTGATCTTTCCCATGTCCATCAGATTTTACGAGTTTTGAATAGAAGTCCTTTTTCACCTTTCCCTCCGTATCAACAGACTCCTCCACATGCACAAAAGCAACACGAAGTGCCTCATTCCTGCATAAAATAAGTTGTTAATACAGTATGCTATCTACACCATTATACACAAGCATGCTATGACAACTATAACGTAACACCAGGGTAAGCACAATAAAGACTAATGGAAGCCAAAAGTGATACACTGTATGATCATTCCCTCAATTTCCTGATCTCAAATAGGAAAAATATAACCAATGGATCTCAAATTCCCAAATATTCCCACTTGTAACAAGTTCAGTTGGATTTCACAAAATCTAGTGAAGGCATTCCACATTAAAATGTACCAACGCATACATGGATTAGCAATTCGCAACCATTTACACATTTCCATAAATTACAGTAGCTTTAAAAAATGATGCTTTAAAAAGGTACCAATGACATTACATAATGTGAACTATCTCATTAACAGTGAGATGTTTGAAAAAATATTAAACTCCCAGATTGCAATAAACAACATCAATCACAGAAATCAATTGTTCCAAAGTAAAATCCCCCAAAGACAAATTTTAATAAGAAACAGAATGAAAAGACAATTAAAAATCATTAATAAGTACAACCTTTGCAACAAAAGAGCAATATCAGCAGCCTCCGGACGTTTGCTTTGCTTTTGTTGCCCATAAATTTGACATGAAACTACATAAGTGAATTTTATATCCGCTTGTGCTCGAGCTTCAGGTGACAACTCAAAACCTTGAGTGCGGGGAAAACTTATTTGGGAATAAGAATCTACACATAGTAGTACAACAACGTAAGTACAGTTTCTCTTTCATCAATAAACAAAAAAATGGAAGGTATATATATATATATATATATATATATATATATATATATATATCTGTGTAGAGGTTACCTCCCATGGATCTCTTTTCCAAGAAACTCTGTAGCATCAACGCTCTTCTGTAATACATCATGCCTCTAACTGCAAAGAACAATGTAAAGATATCCTTGTGAATCATATGTGAAAAAAAATGGCAAGCACTATTCTCCAAAAAATATCCCAATCATAGGTAATAAAAAAAATTGAGGAATCAAACCTGTCCGAGCTAAAGTTTGCCCTCTGTAAGACGCCCAAAACCGGAGTTCCAAGGCATCACTAGAACTTCGTTGAATTTCAGCATCAGCACTATCACCATGTCCAATTCGTTCCAGGAAATTCTCCCATTCATCTGAAAATTGATAGCAAAAGATTGAGAACGGTCAAAACACTTTAAGAACAGTTGAATAGATCAACATCAAAGTGTCAATGCGAGAAATTGATGCTTCTTAAATATATCAATCACTAAGAAATTGATCCCAATCATGGATTAATCAGAAGGAATTGATGCTGGTTTCTTTTGATCGACATCGAAGAAATTGATGCTTCTTAAATATCTTAAAACCACAACTTAAAGAAAAGAAAGACGTCCGAAAATTCAGACCACAAGATTTTCAGAAATACCTGGAAATATTTTCTGGAGATAGAAAAGGGTGGATATGCCATCTTCATTTTCAGCCCGCAAATCATTGGAACTATAAAGAACAATCTCGCTGTAGTACGGTGTGAAGACACTGTTTTAAAGCAAACATAAAGGAGAAATTTGTAATAGATTTTTTATGAGACATAAAAACCTTTTTTCTTAAGAGACATCAACAGTGGTAAATTAGACATTAATAACAATGCAGAAAACAAAGCAACGTATACCAGAAGGGCATCATTTCACAGACTGGCTTCGCTGCTGGCATGTCCATAAACAATGAATTTGTGAAAAATTCCAATCTTCTCCTTGCTTCAAGGTTCTTCGGTATATTAGCTGCAGAATCCTTCACTGTGAGAAGCAGGTGCAACCTTTTGACCTGCTCTTTCTGTCAAGATTTGAAGGATTAAAATGGGCTAGACCAAAACAGCAGATGCACTAGAATGATCCATCATTAATATTTACAGCTTACAATTTCAGAATCCTTGGGCCACTCAATCCTCGAAAACAGCCTCCCTTCATTTCTAGCCCTGGCCAATATATTCCACGTATCAAGCTGCTCCCTGAGGACAAAGGAGGGGTGAAGGCAGTTTTAGTTTAAAAAATCAAGAGGAAATTAATAAAGATACTGCACTTATAAGCAATATTCACAAACCTTAGATCTGTAGACAATAATTCATGGGTAACCACCTCATACAGATCAAAAATGGCTTTTGCAGCACCTTTGGCTAGTTCTGGAGTTTCGTTTCTTATCTGAAATAATATTAAAACTACCTGAGTAATAATATAGGAGGGAGAGAGTACTGAAAGGATGACAACAGTAAAAACTATAAGGTACCCAGTAGTGCATAAAAAAATCCTCACATTTGCAGATGCGTCTTACTAAACAATGTACTTGAGAATTTTATCATGCTTCAAAAATTATCCATTAAGTGGCATATTTGAAAAATTGTAAAAAAAGAATACAACAACAACAACAACAACATACCCAGTATAAGCACAAGAAGATACAAAATCCATAAAAGCAATAACAACAGAAACAACACTTGGGAGAAAACATGATAAACAGAAAAAATTTACAAGCGAAACAAAAATATTATGTCAAAATTCTATGCTAAAATTCATAAAAAATGATATAGGAAATGAAGAAAACTCTCGATCTTACACCAGAAACATCATTCATGTAGCATAGGAACCTAGAGGAAGTAATCCAGTGCAAAATAAAATGTGACATTATCAAATAATCGTCGAATCCAGATCTATGAAAATGACATGATCTCAAATTTTCAAACAAAACAACACTATTTTTTCCATAATCTCAGAAAAGCAACATAATAGCTAACCCGGAAACGGATAACTTTGACCATCAAATGAAGTAATAAGCTCTAAAGTAGACTGGTTGGTAAGTCTCTTAGTGGATTTCTTAGAAGTACAAGAGAGAGAGAGAGAGAGAGAGAACCCAAAAGCTCTAAACTAATAACCCATAGGAATCAAACTCTACACTTTGACTCAAAAGAGGTTCAAGTTTATCTCATGTCTCAATAAAATATTGAGGTGTAAGACATTTAAGGTTAAATCATTTGAAATCATAAAACCGCAGTCACTAATTATTTCCAAATCTACATTTCCATCAATTCTTTTCCTTTTTTCTCTTTTTTTGGAAGCGGGAAGGAGAGGATGCATAGTTACCAGCAGTCCTGTCAATGCCGTAAATCGTGACAGCACCATAGGCAGCTTCTTAAGATTTAATGTGATGACAAGAGAACCCTCTTGAATACTGTTGTTGATTTCACGAAATATTCTTTCAACCCTGCATTATTGAAAAACATAGTGACTAGAAGTCTTAAGCTTTATGCCACAAACTTAACACCAAACAACAAAAGAGTTGAAAGTATGAAATGAAGAATGCCGAAAGAATCACACCAGAGTCTCCCCTCTCCATCCACCAGAGAATGCAGAACTTTTTCTATGCTGTAGTAGCACTCTTGAACAGCATAAGCCATATATTCATCCTTGCATAGTCTATTCCATAGATCTGTTTGTGTATCTTTGCAGTCCAGAGCATAGTCAATTGCCAATAAAATCTGCAAAAGCAAATAATCTCAGAATATTAAGAAAAGAAAAAAAAAATCTTTTAACTAATAAAATCAGGTAGTGACAAGTGAAAGCACCTTACTACTAAGAAGGAAAAGAGGCCATTGAACTAATCTGATCATTCCCCTGTTACTAGGCATTGACAGCAAGTCCATCTCCCTACAACGAAAATGAAATTTGCGAGAGGCAAGTTGAAGTACTCGGATAGGAAATGAGGAAGAAATCGTCATTTAGATAAGTTTTGGAGATAATATCACAAGCTTCAGCAATTAACCTGTTGCTGATATAGTCTTCCTCACGTAGGCTTTTTATGATTTCATTCCAAAATGGAGAAAACATAGCTGCACACTCTTTGTTATTATCTTGAGGAGCCTAATTTAAAAATAAAAATAAAAATTATATGCTGTATAATACAAGTGGGAAGAAAAGCAAGCATCTTAAACCAAAAACTGAATATGGATAACGACAACATATAGGCAATATTGGCACACAAGTCGAAAAGATCCATATAATCACTTTAAAATACATGTGTGTGTGTGTGTGTGTGTGTGAAATGGTCTAGCATGAATAAGCAATTTCTTGGAAATCACGAACTAGCATCTTTTGATAATAAGGAAGAAAGTCCTACAATAACGATTACTCAAGGCACAATAACAAGCAAGAATCTTTTAGATTATTATACTGCTCGGGAGGTCTAAAAAATTACTTAATCCTCATAAGAAACAGCAACTCAGACATCACCTAAGATTGTTGTGGTTTCATTTCATTTGAGAGTCCCTCCAACCGACCGATTGAAAGCAGAAGCAGAGGACAAGGGAACCGGTTATGTTAATAATAAAACTTGATTCATATATTGAGCCTAAAAGAGACATGAAGAACACAAATCCCTGTCCTCCAACCAGTGTAACAAAATACTGATCTCATTAGGTCGTATGAATTCTTTTTCATCTGATACACTCAATTAACTGTGGGAGAATAATACTTTCCATAGAAAACAAATGGATGGGTAAAGAACTTTTTTGGGCACATCTTCATCAGTTACAAATAGAATGTGAGAACTTGTGGAATCAAACATCTGACATCAAGCTTATTCATCCTATGTCATCGTAATAGAATGTTTCCGGTTGACTTTTACAAAGCATCTTAAAACGATTTAACATGAAAGAAAATTAAAACATTACATATACCTGCGATGAAGGCCTCTCAAAAGCCATCCTACCAGAGGCAGCAAAGGCCGGACAACAGCATGATTAGTATAAGCAAAAGTAGATATATGATGAAGCTCAAAAACTTAAATGAGTTAGGGATGTCACCTTTTCGCCAGAGGTGAAACAAGATTCTTGACAAAAGCTTCTGGAAAGTTCTCAAAGCGTCTATGTACCATTTCAATTGAACGGATCTAGCAACATCAATTTTTTAAAACAAATTAAAGCCATTATTACAAAAATTGTAGTACAGGAGGCACAAGTACACCACTATGACAGGTACAACATGATAAATGCACACACAATTTAAATGATAATCATTTAGGAACCAAGAATTAGATAAAAACTGCAATACCTCTCCTAAACGGGCCCGTGCACCCATCACAGCACCAACAATTGCAGATAACAAAGTATACCAAATGTGAATATCCATGAGATAGATCTGGAAACATTAACGCCAAAGTCAGAATAGAAGAAGAAAAGTGAGCAAGATTAGCCAGAAGCCATGTCTATAAACCTAGAACAAAGGTGGCAACAGCAAAATAGAAACTCAAGTATGGAAAATTTGATATGATTGAACCCAACGCCCTACAACACACACATACTCGCCCCAAGGTGGAAACCAAATATAACTATTGCTCGCAACTGAAGCTTTAAACATCATCTTCAAAAAAATTGAAGGCACATTATTTCATCCATAATTATTCATACGGTAGAGAACCACGAATCAAACAGGGAAATGATCTCGTATCAATGCAGCCACACAACTCCATTGCAGTACTTAAAATAATAATAAAAAAAAAGAAGTTAAACCCCTTCATATATTTCACTACATTCATTAGATGACATGGGAGTTAAAGAGGATTGGGGTTATTAGACATGGATTCTAAAAACAGTTTCTTGTCCTGTCTATTGTTACTTCAAGTTCATGGAGCAAGATCTGTTATTTTCTCTTTCCGTCTCTCCAACACTGGTAAATGGTTGTTAACATGGTAGCCATCATATGTAGCAATCATTCTTTATCAGAGGATGATTGTTAACATTGGTGCTCACTTGCCAACACAGGTCACGTACCACTCTCCAGAGGTCAAGTCATTTTCAGGAATATAATTAAGAAGATAATACTACAAAAATAGATACTTACAGCCACAACAGGAGCCCACAAGCTAGCTAGTGTCAGAGCATTGTTGTTATCTGCCACCAAGAAAACAAAAAGTATTAAAACCATTTTCGAACCAAACAGAATAAGAACAAATAATGCTAAAATATCCAGACCAAACAGGATACACTGAACAAGGATAATACTTTCAATTGGTCAATTATGTCAAAAAAGATGGCAAAAATTCCCAAATTACAAAAATATTCTATGTTCCTAATGAAAGGCAAGGCAAGAATCTTAAATTTTTTCCCCGAACCAAAAGTAGCATATTTGGGTCAAAGAAGCACATCATGAAGCCACTAAATATAGAAAAAGGATAAACAAGAAGCAACAAGGCCGAGTGATTGCACAGTGGCCAGCAGCGTAATTGACATTTGATGTCATAAAATTTGCAGGGCTATCCAGAGATCCTTAAAATATAAATCAAATAATTCAAATGACCAAAGATGAAAGACGTAGCACTATGTAACTATAGATCGGAAATTGTGCTTTTCCCAATTTAGAATAGCTAGTATAAGAGACAACTCAAATAATTGATGGCAAATAAGAACGCAAAACCGAAAATGACGAGAAGTAAACCAGCATCTCGCCAGAGACAGAAACAGTCCCTTTTATCAGGCTAAAAAGAAAGGAAAAAGGAACCCATTTCCCTTGAAGGTGAAAGGGAAAACTTTACGACAAGATAATGGTGTTCAACTGAGGAAAGCATCTGCCTTCCCCAGCACAAGGAAGAGATAAGAGGTTTACTACCATGCAAATTCACACCACAGGTGATACCTTAACAAGACCTAAAGGCTGTTCAAATCCAAAGCTAAGTAAAGAAAAAACTGTCAATTTCAGCACACAGACGAACAAAACTAACATAAGCACACTTACTCTTGGATACCAAGTCATGCCACGAGTATTGCAAGGAACGGATCTTTACTATTATATTCGTCGGTTCCACCAGGGGCTTAATCTGCAAAAAATAAAACCAAATGGGTGACATATAGATTCCAGCCTCTATTAAGTTCAAGAGCATATTTCAGGTTACTCCTAACCTATTTTGCTCATGGTCAAACAAACAATTGGAGGCTCTCTTAGATTTGAAGCAACAACAAATAACGTGAATCAAAAATCAGGTTGTAAAAGTCTCAAGATCAAGTTAAATACATGCCTGAAGAAAGTAGGCAAATGTGAACTTGCAGATGAAGATGACCAGCCAGAAAACCACATATCTGCATCAGTACAAAATCACAAGATCCAGTAAACCAGCAGCCGAGGAAGACACATGACATGTAAACCATCTAACTTCGATTAAAGATTCCACTTGAATAGCAAGTCAAATCAAGCAACAGCTTGCACAGCAATAAAAGCAAATTTTGAATGCCAATGTAAGTGGTACGTGCCCCAGAAAATTTTCATATCAGTGAAACCATATATGTACACTCTAAATCTATTAGACACACGAGTGGTTTCACACTTTCTTGTAAGAGTGGACAATGAAAAATGTCAAAGAAAACTTATAAGGATTGGGTTGAATCCAGACTATCCACCTGATTTTAAGTGGATAAACCATAAAGGTGAGGCGTAAACATGGACCGGTTATGGTTTAATCCACATTTTTCAAAATAAATACTTGCCTGAAGAACGTAGGCAAATGTGAACTTTACAATATAATAAGCCTCATTCAGTTTCCATACTAAGAAATTATATTCATGCATCGATTCAGATAATGCTCAATGACATTGAGAATAAAGTGCAACATCAGTTTCGTAACTGCTTATACTAAAAGATATTCCAGCATTAGTTAGAGTTACAAAAGAAAAATCCAACAAAAATAAGACATACCTTATGTAATCGGTTGTCCTTTCGACAAGACCTCGGCCGACAAAATATCTTTCCTGCAATTTTAAACGAATGGTTCAATAACAGAAGTTTGAAAAACAGTCCTATGTAACATGGCTGATCACCACTAAATACCTGGTAAATCCATTTGAAAAACTGGAAAAATGACTGATCAGCCATCGCAGAAAAGGAGTGGCATGCAGGTATTTTCAAGAATATTGCCAAAATAAGCCGTAGCCCAGCATATACTCCCAACACAAGGATATAGATCCGAAAGTACAAAGAGTTGGAATCATTTCTTTCCTGTAAAACTTTTCTGAAATGAAGACATGCATCAGCAGCCAGAACTAGCATTAGCAACACTGAGAGAGAGAGAGAGAGAGAGAGAGAGAAAGACTCACATGTACATGTAGGTAATAAATACAGAGCTCACAGCCCACCAGAAAAACCTAATGAAAAGCCTAGATATAGCCATTCCTCTAGCGGTTGTGTAAGCACCAAACATAAGGAGGACATCCAGGGAACCTTCAAATTTAGTGACAGATAAAAGCTTTATATTTCAGCATGTGTGATTTATTAAGGATAAAAAATAAACAAATTAAACACTAGCATAAGGAACTTACTCTCCAAAAAGTTCATTACTGCAAATGTGGGACCAGCACTAAGGACTGTCTTAAAAGTGTCGAGATTAATTCTTCCATCGTTGAAGGCTATGATAGTCAAGATCTGAAATTGACAAAAACAAAAAGGTTAGCATGCATCTTAACTCTTAGTATGCCACCGGAAAAACAAGGCAAGGAAGTATTAGAAGCGTAAATAACCTGAAACATTATCGCCAAAAACATCCACATGCGATGGAAGCTTCGGTACAAGTGGAGAAATGTCCTATGTTCAACAAAGTTACTCTTACCCGTCTGCAAGTATGTAACACGAATTAGAAATAGGGAAAGAAAGAGTCAACAGAAGGAAAACCCGTTCATATTACACCTCATATGACACCATGTCCTTTCGCAATACACTTATCTTCTCCGAACGAAATGGACTTCAGCATGAACTAAAACATTTAGTCTAAAACGCTAACAGGTAACCATATTTAACACGTTATTCAAGAAAAGCATGCAGCCTTCAAGGAAAAAAATCGTACTGATAAACAAGAAACATCTCCAAAATCCACAAACAGCAAAACAACATTAAAGTAACGAGCTACTATGACTTTGACCCATAAACTAAGACAAATCAAAACAACCAAGAGGGGTCTGGTACCCTAAGAGTATAAACCAGAACAAAAAGAGAATTTAGAACCAACCTCACCCCTCAACCCCCCAACAACCAAAAAAAAAAAAACCTTAGCTTATAGCTTATTGGTTGGGGAGCACGACACCTAATTAATTTAAAAACAGTAACACAGAAAACTCATTGGCTCCCAACAACTTGATGCAGGAGAAAACTCATTGAAAGAAAAAACGAATGCAAATACTCATTGTATTTTCTGAAAATTAGTAGACCAGAAACGTCGAGCTCTTTTAAAGGTAGCTTAGTCATTAACTTGTTTCTTACGATAATTGTTAAAGCTTAAATGGTGGGACGTTAAAGGATGGTTAAGTGCAGGTTCAGAAATCACAAGGTCATTTGAATAGACTTTTGAAGTGTTTAATGATTTCTAACTCGGCATTCAAAAGGATGGAAGCAGAAAATAGTTCTGAAGAACAAAGCATATACAGTAGAAAAGGTAAAGAATAATTTGAAGTGATAATATGCGCAAATAGTCCACAGTGGTCTCCCCAAACAATACACATTTTTTTGGAAAAAATAAATAAATATATAAAACAAAGACATTCATTCATCGTGCCATACCAAACACCTCAACTCCATGATATTAATTAATTCATCATCTCAAGCAATTCAGATAACAGAACGAAAAGGTTATTGGACTTCGTAGATAATAAACAGAGTGTACTGACCCTTTTCCTTCTCCCAGGCTTTAAGAGAAATGATGAATCCTCCTTCATGGGCCAACTCAACTCAAGACAAGTAGGAGACCTAAACAAAACAGATTCCAACATAAATTAATGCTAGAGAATCATGCCAACCAACAACAGTGTGTCATAATATTGAAAGAAAATCAAAAGCCTCATAAAAGAAGTCAAACCAGAAATATTCATTAAAGTCATCATAATTCCGCCATTTTGCATGAGATGATTTCCCAACCCCATTTTTTGCTTCCTGAAGCAAAAGAAAAGAGAGCAAAGATCCAAAAAACAACTAAGTCTCCAACAGAAAAACAAAAATTCAACATCAGTTAACCAAGCGATCTGAGTCATATTTAGAAAATTTATGACATCCTATCCATCCTGAAATACAAACTCTCCAAATACGTTCTGGCCTCCAAGCTTCAAATGCAAAATTTTTATGATAATTACCACCTTGAAGATTACTTAACAGTAGATGGATGAAATAATTACATATAGGTCCAAAAAGAGCTGGAAAAGGAAGCTATCATGGATATCTAGCAAATGCTTTTTAGCCCATTAGCTTATGGCTGTATGGATAGCCTACTCGTAGTACAATGTAATAGGGGACACAAAACTCAGATTACATGCATTTATGTATGCATATTTGATCAACATGTACCAATGTGTAGGCGAATATATAATATACACAACAACACCATATTGTTTCCTTTCTCTTTCTCTAGATATCATGTTAAAAGGATCATATTAAGCCTCGCATGATTCATTAAAAGGGAGACCATCAGCCTAAACCTCATAAGACCAGATTCAAGTATTCCAAGCATAATAGGTAAAGAATGATAAGGTGATTCCATATAGGACGCTAAAGTCCAAGGTCAAACATATGCAAATGAGCGAAAGGATTATGCTCTATTTGAAGTAAATCGTGAGGCCTCTAGCTATCTTTTTAACAAAATTCAGAATAACATCAGCAAGTTCATTAAGAGTAATGGATACAAGGAAATCCACAAAAGAACCAAAAAAGCGACAAACTGACTCACTGCGTCCATTGCAACATATATAGGACGGATGACTCGCTCAAGGTAGGACACGGAACCATTTTCAGTTGTACAACTTGGAGCTGGGTGAGCTTCTCCGTGATCCAATATTGCATCTAATTCTCTAGCCATCTGCAAATCACATATAGAAATGGTCAGATAGCTCCACTTAAATTTTTTCAAGTTTATCACCATTGAGAATTTAAGGATATAAAAAGAGGAAAAAGTCATACGAACAAGGAACGGTAGAAGAAGTATATCACTAGGTTTTTCTATACTTGTGCTCAGGTTCATCATGATTCGAGAAACCAAAGTGTTAAAAGTTTGGTAAGTGATCTCTATTAAGTGGTTTTAGTAACCAGGAACTTTCGTTTTCAGTAATATATTATCAGTTATTTAGAGTAAGGATATTTCAGTAATTTTGCTATCTGCAGTATTTTCTGGAATAATAGGAAATTAGAAGTGAATCCTAGTTGTCTTTAATTTAGGTTTAGTTTCAGCTCAATTAATACAATGTATTCCTTACAGGAGAAATTAAGACTTTCAATAACAAAATTCCTGCGAATAAGCTTTGCTTTTGCATTGTTGTGTCATACAACTTTTAAACCCAACCGAAGACGACAAAGAGTGATCCTTAGTGTGGTTACTGTAATTTTCCGCAGCCAAACTAATGTTATCTACTATCTTAGGGTTCTATCTTAGGGTTGATTTTCTGCTGCCTACTTGTTGGTTAAATTACTAATGATCTGTGTTAAGATACACCCACGCTGGTGCTGCATCAAAAAGGTCATTTGATGATGCAAATATGGCAAAGATGGAGGTACAGCTAGGAGGTGCAATAAGTTTCTTCATCCCAGCCTCAGATAACTAAGAGTGAGACCAGTAAAGGCCCATAACAAATCTAATACAGCTATTTGCAGTCCGAAAATGAAAGACCAATGAAAATAAGATATTTTTCATAGCAATAATTCGGGAAACAGATTGTGAAATTCAAACCAGTCATATTCCTCTCTCTACTGTGAAATTTAATCAAATTAGTTTTTCGACTAATACATGTATAGTAAAACAAGCAGGAAGTCCTTTTGGCAATAAGAGACCCATGCAAACATAGATTGTAGTTTCAGAAGTTACTCAAATAAAACCCATTGCAGCTTAAAAAAGAGATTTGGAACATTGTGTAGTAAAGCAGAAAGAGACAAAAAGGACGTGATTGGATCGCTCTCCAATACAACAGAAGTAATAAATATAGGTTCAAAAGATGCAGTAGTGTGTGCTTACCACTACAACCAAGGTCCTAAAATATACATAGTGGTCATGAAGGAGAATAAGTAATCAGAGGAGGCTAGCTACAGTAACAGAAAGATAATGAGGAAAACCAGGGCCAAAAAGAGCATGAACCACTTACATGGTGGAATATATAACAGATACATTCAGGAAGAAAGCGGACATTGGCAGCTTCACCCCATATGCAGTAGTATAGAGAGACCAGAAAAAGCTTCCTATCTCGATTAATGGCTTCTAAACTGAAAATACATGAACGTAACTGCACCAGTTAGCATCACTTTCAAATGAAATTTTTAACTTACATGCACCGTCACTGCAAGGATTTCTTTACAGCAGCATAATTACACTTTCAAAATTTCACTCATTCACAGTTTGGGATATACAACATGGCAACTTCAAAAATAACATTCATAACAGTTTCGGAATCCACATCATTCCCTCAACTTGCATAAGTAAAAGAAAAATAAAACATGATAATAGACATTGAAAAATATAACAAAAAATTTGCAAATAGTACCTATTATAAACAAGGCGAATACGCAAATATCTGCACCACTTTATGTAATTGTCTAGCACCTTTAGAAAGACCTCTTTGATTGCCTTTTCATCAATTTTCTGCAAAGAGTTGGGTAAAGTCAGTACCAAAAACAAAATAAAGTTCAGAATCAAATCATTTAGTAAATGCAAACTCGGAGTAACTGAGGGATGAGGGAGCTACAGGTCACTTAAATGCTAGCATGTAGCTGGTAGCACTTTATGAGAATATACCTCACACCACAAGATACAAATGAATAACACAGAAAGATAACGAAAGCTGGCAGGAATAAGCTTAGTCCACAAACCCAAAAACAAACCTTCACAGCTACTGCCCATTATAGTTCCATTCAAACAGAATAAACTACCAAGAAGATATTATAATAGCTAAGCACTTGCTTTAAGTTAACAACAGTTTCAAGGCTTTTAAAAAGCAAACATGGTAAGTGGATCTCCATAGATGAGACCTCGTTACCGTGAATTCAACAAGGAACTGTTTGTGAGTTTAGAATTTGGATGTTCTTTAAAATCTCACTACCGTTCGCCATTGAATCTCCAAAAGCAAAGAAAATTCTTTTTACTCACTGAAAAAGATAATTCTTTCTCCACGGACAATCCAAAACCAACATGCACAGAGCAGCACATGTGACTCTGATCCCTAATTGCAGATTACTCATATAGAGGTAATGCATGGCAGCTGGTGATTGTACACAAAGGTCCACAAAATTGAGAAAACACTCCAAATAACACAGAAGAAAGGTAAAACCTAAGGAAGGGAGTATCATCTACATCTTCACTCGTGCAAAACTTGCTAGGTGAAAAACAATGAAGCATCTTGTGATGAGCGTAAGTTAAAGATAATCTAACAAATGAACACAAAATACAAACACCAAAAGTATGCCAAGGAAAAAAAAAATTATGCTAATTCGCAAAGAAAACAGAAACAAACAATGTAATAAAAAAAATTTAAAAAAATTAAAAAATACTATGGTCAACTGTCTCACTCACAGGATCTGCTTCAACAGGTAAGCCAAGTCGTGACTGTGCATTTGCAAGAGCAAGGATCACATTCTCACGCTGATTTCTGACATTATCCCTCTGGAAATAAGAACCTCAATAAGCAAACTAAAAGACAGATTTACAAAACAAGCACTTTACAATTAAAGAAAGAATATCCTGTTATTTGTTCACAATGTCACCGTCATTAGAAGAAAAGGAAGTGCAGAGGATTTCACACAAAACACAAATGTCCCAGGTAATTGTAAACCAGGCCTTGAGGTACTGCTTGGGAGCCAAGTCACAACCTAAGTTCTAAAACTCAAAATGAGAACTTATAAACACATTTCTATAAAATTAAATGTTATGACAAAGATTTTCAACAATAAAGAACATTATCAGATGACCTTATGGTTCCAAGTCAAGGCGGTTCAGCTGAAATAATTCTAATTCTGCGGTACCCATGTTCATGGGTTAAAAAAATAATAATAAAAATAAAAATTTTAAAAAGGAAAAAGCCTTTGTTATAGGAGCAGACAATTCCAGAGTGCCATCAATTTGTTGGTTCTGACACCTGTAAAAGGTTGTTGTAAGAAAATCCTTGGAAGGAACACAGCTCACATAGCTACTCACACCACTTTAAGTAAAAGAAAAATGGTTTAAATGGCATTCGAAAGACGGTTCTTCACACTGAGTTTGGCGGGGCAATATCGTTTTACAGTTAAAACAACATTACTCCAAACACTATACATCCTCAAAACATGTTAAAATAACAAAACAAAACTTACAAACAGGAGCTTATAGTTGCCATTTCCAAAAGATGTAAAAGAGATAACTTTGACATATCTAAGGTTAATCAAATTTTCAGGCTAGAAATGGAAGTGAGTTTTGAACTCAGGATGATGTGTAATCAGATTTGACACTAGCGAGCAGACAAGAACATTGTTCAAGGCCAAGTAGGTGGTGGAGTACAGATGACTCTGGTCAAGTAAGTAGTGAAGTTCAGATGAAACTCTACTTTCACATATCCAGTAATTATGAATACGTCAATCCATGTTAAACCTCAGAACTCAAAGTCATTACATTACCAACTCTTAATATCACTGAAAAAAATCCATGAAGTTTACAATGACATGAAGTGAAAGCTTGAGTCGAAACCATAAGCAGGTTCCTATGTCATACTTATTGATCTTTAAATGTGCCCACATATACAATTCCACTATGAGGAGTTATCCAGTTCTTATTTCCAAAGTCAAAACATCTGACATACATATAACTCAATGTTCTGTTTAGAGTTATTTGATATTTTTTACTTTTTTCTGTTTCCCTCTCTAATATTTAAATTCGAGCAAGTTGACAAACTCGCTACGCCAAAGTCAGAGTCAGTTCTTTTCCACTTGTGTAACATGTAGTTGGACAAGAACCTTGAAACATATTCTTTACATAAGATCTTGTTCTGCAGTAAATTCCCAAGATAAGCAAAAAAGTTCCAATACCCAGAAGATTTTAAATAAAATAGTGTTAATTGTACCAAACTAAAGTTATAGATCTGTCTTCCTTAATCATTAAAATCAAATTCAAAATCCAAACAAGATAAGCATTGAACATTCATAATCAGAATCAAGTCCATCTGAAAGCAACTTGGAAACACCCAACATGAGAAACCATCAACTTAGACCATTGGAACTTATGACAAACAATAGCACAGTAATTGCGAACAGCTAATGAATTTATTGAGACGCCAGACCTGAAAACCAAACACATACTCCAACAGATCAAACATGTCCACTTCTCGCTGCCCAGAAACCTGAAAATCAGCAGGAAGCTGGGGGAATTGTTCGTTACATTTAATAGCTGATATGGCACCTCGGACCTGGGGAGAAAAACGAAGTAATGTAAGTAAAGCCAAAGTGAAAACAGAATGTTTCTCAAGCAAAAGAGAAGGAGAGAAGGTATAGTACAAAGAGTGACCACTTGTCGGCGAAGTATTACTTGAGGAATATACAAACTAGCAAAATCATGACTGATTGTCTCAGTTCTAAAACCAAATCAGCAGGTCAACTTTAAACAGGCAAGGAGACCAAAACTTACAACTCATACCAATAAAGAAAACAAAAAAATCATTTCTAAGTCACCAACTTACTTCTGGGAAAAATCCAATCGCATTGGTTAGAGATGTCGCTTCCAGAGGGACTATATTATACGGGGTGAGCTCCGCTGATAGAGTTGCATCTGATGTTTTTATCCTTCTTAACTGAGTTATATAGAACCAGAAAAGAAACCACAAGGAGGAGAAAGTGAGAGAACAATATTAGCCAGAAGAAACTGACACCACTACAAGGTCATACAGATGATGATTTCAAAAGTAAAGAATTTTTACTTTCAAAAAGCATTTAAAATTCTTAAATGTCCACCTTGTTTTAAATTTACTAATCAGTGAAGTAAAAAACAAGGAAAAGAAAAGAAGCCAGTGTTAAAAATTCAAAATAAGATGTCTAATTCATTATAATGCAGAAAAAGGGAATGGGAAAGCACCTCATCTGTGATTCTCTTTCCCAATGCTTCAGGAGCATCTTTGCTCAAGGCCTCCATGACTTCGACTAATGCCTTCAAGGTGGCAATTACCCTTCTCATTTCTGACAAGCTAAGAAGAGACACAAAAGTAATATCTAGGTTAGCATCTTACTAACCCATGACTAAAAGGTAAGAAGTGGTAGCCTAGTCATCATGTACAACATTGCTGTACACAGCAAATTACATGCAGAAATGGTCGACGAATAAACCCAAAAAGAAACAATTTGTGGAACTAGATTTTCAACCACAGCACCTAATTGGACACAGCAAATAAGTACTCAATGGCACTTTCCAGTCGGGATATACCTACGCTACGGCTGCCCGAGTTTATCGACATTAGGCAGAAACCCAGAAAAACCTTAAAATCATTGTGAGGAAAAGAATTGGCTGGGATGCTAATGAAAATGCCATAAACAAATAACCAGTAACCAAAAATAGTGCAAGCAAACATACTCGCCAATATTAGTACTGTATGCTCCAGATTCACGCCATCTTTCCTCTTCTTTCTGGATGTCTTCTATTCTATGCTGCCTTTTATAGCGTTGGTAAAACTCCCACAGTTTCTCAATATCACGACTACGATCAAAAGGCGTCCCATCCTTTTTCGCAAGTTTTTGCTGCAAACAGTAACAAGTCACTTCTTGGCCTCTGATCCTTTATATCAATTTAACTTAGGTTCAAAATCTAAAACAACTACATGTGAGCTTCATCGCATAACACATAAACAGTTTTAATAATAATAATTCACCAATTTGTTCTCAACATTTTAAAGTTCTGCATATTCCAACAGAGATCCAGGTTATAGTTTTATAATCGTTTCTGTCCTCCTTAACCTGGCCAGCCTAAAAGGCTAGATCTATAGTGCATGCATAGCAGCAAAGACCTTTAAAATATTTGATTAAGATGATAAGAAAGTTTCCCTTAAGCATTTGACACATAATAGGGTACCTTAATAACAGACATTAATCCAGTCTTAAACTGTAGAACGCCTCGGCCATCACTGTTGGGGTCCAAACTCTGAGCCATAGAATATGCCTGCTCACATACTACAATAACAAAAAAAAAGTATCTCAGGAAACAATAAATAATACTAATTAGCAAACTAGCTCTGGCAAAAAATGTTAACGCGGCATCCACAAAGGTTACTTCAAAACATACGGAGAAGAGATAGATGCCAAGACCAATCACAGTACAAAAAAGAAAAATATTAACATGAGGCTCCCAAATATAGTGACCACACTTTGCCATTTCACATTCAAGCCCAATATTTCGAGTAGCCAGCACTAAAATTTACTGAACAGACAAGAGGAAAGTAAAACAGTTGTTCATATTCCAGCTTAGATATCTGCTTGTGAACATAAACATGTCATGAACGGATTTAATAAACCATTTACAGTGGCCCAACTAGCAAATCGAATTCACCATTTAGACTTCAAAATGAACAAGTTCAAACACAATAAACAAACCTCTTGTATCACAAATCAATACTTCAAAATTACTACCTCTACGACAGCCAACGCACGACTTGTAAACGCAAAGCAACCAAAAATCCCGATAAAGAAGAAAAAGAACTTACGAATTCTCGAGATATTGGGGTCTTCAGCTTGAATTTCGTCGGCAGCTTGAAGAATAGCGTTAACATTGGTGGTGCGCTGTAGCGAATCGGGAACAGCACCAGCAATACCGCTGGAAGTCCTCTCATGTCCACCTGGTCCCGTATGCCGCAGCTGTTCTCTCCTCAGCGTCGCCCTAACCAACCTCTCCCAATTGTCATAAACCCTAGCCATTTCGAATCGATCTCTCCTCCTCCTACTTCCCCAAAAGTGCCACACAAAGAACCCTTTGGGGAAGATATCCTCTCGAAATTAGAATGTATAATATCTAGCTAGCTAAATTTGGATGAGTAATGCGCGTCAGGTTCCGTTCACCTCCATGGGATTCAAATTTCTGATGCTTACGGAAGAAGAATTGACAGAGATTTGAGAATCTAGTTTGAAAGGTCTTTATATATTTCAACGCGGGGAAGAATAAGAATGGATCCGGTGAATAATATAACGCATTTGCCAACTTTATTATTTTCAGTCATCACAATTTCACAAGAAAAAAATAAATTATTTTCAGTCATCACAATTTCACTTTCAACTTTTAAAAATCACACTTTCGCCCCGAAACTTGTATGAAAATTATTGGCACTTTCTCGTTAAAAGTTTATTTTTTCCAGAAAATTATATTTTGCCCTTAATTAATAAATAGATATATTTAGTGAGAATTGTGTATTTGTCCTTTCATTAGTCATTATCATATTTCACTATTAATTGTCACTGTCTGAATCATTGCTCAACTTGTATATGTACATTATTCAATTTTACTTGATCGAGCCCGAGAAAAAAAACAATGAAAATCCATATTGATGTATGTGTACATATAACAATTATAGATAATTTTTTAGGGAAAGATAAAAAATTTTTATGAGAAAATACCAACGAAACAGGAAGTCATATTAGCTACATGATAAGTATAATGACTAATGTACAGTGAAAAAGGAACAATGACTAAGTTGGCCCAATTGTGTTGCTACTTTGCCATAGAAATTATGGGGATGTTTGGACAACCTCTAATTTTGCTTTTTGTCCCATTTTCTCTCTTAAACACCAAAAACCAATGCACTATCCAAACAACATTTTAACTTATTTTAAAAAAATATTTCAAACATTAACTTTACACAGTTTTTGTTCACCACACCAAACCACCTTGACCACCGGCTGCGGGGCGGAGGTGAATGATAGTAGTGGTGGGTGGTGGTAGAAAAATAATATTATTTTAATTAAAAAACTGTCCAAAGAACTTTTAAATTTTCCCTCAAAATACATATTAAATCACATTCAGACTCAAACCAAAAGCTAAAATAAACCATCATCCATACAAGCACATACCTTTTCCTTCAAAATTATGATTTTACCTTTAATAAACATAGACACATCACTATGAAATATATATATATAATACATATATATATAGTCACTATTATTTTTCATATATATGCTTGTCATTATAAATATCATTTTCCTTATTTATTGGTATTCAACGATACAATCACAGGAAAATCATTGCCTACTAAACGGTTTTGCGTATTTAGGGCATGCTGTTATAGCAATATAAAGTACAGAAAGTAAATCAGATTGACTAAAAACACACACTAATATAACAATAATCATATGAATATTATAATTTAATAGACAATTTTCTCTAATGGCCTATTTATACAATTTATTCCACTCTTCATGCATGCTTGTGTTAAGGATCAAACACGAAAATTCATAGGCTAATACCACCATTGGATTTAAAATTATTAGTACATCTCAAGCTTCGACATAATTGTTCGGTTTACACATATTTTATAAAATATTGACTACAAAAATATCCCTTCGAGGAAAGGGAAAAACTCTAGTTTTTCTGTGGTAGATTAGGGTTATTGACATGAAATTGAAGGCATTTTTACGAGAACTACACTTATTATTGTAATCAAACGTTCAATAAGTTCAAACGGGTGAAACAATTATTAAGCCATTACTATTATTATTTAAGTTAGAGATGTTGATTTAAAACTACTATTTTATGATTGGTATTAAAGAATCCCATGATGTATTTTCCATTGTCCTAAAAGAGTCTCTAACTATTTCATTACTTAAACTATAGCATAGGGGAATTATCATAAAATTGAGAGTAGTTTAGTAAATTTATATGTCTGAATAGTGGGAATATGGGCTCGACAATATTCTAGCAACTACAGTTAAGATGTAATGGCTACAACAAGATCCGACAAAGCATAAGGGCCTAGGTAGTCTCTCTATGAATTCTATAATTCCTTCTTTTTACTCAAATTTTGATTCAACATGGTTGTAACATTTAGTGTTGTGATAAGTTAAACTATATTACGGGAACACTTAATTTGGTATAACGTAAAGAGTACTCCATAGTATAGATTGGTGTCACACATTTGGTTTTTATATAGACTAAGGTAGCGGTGTCGACCACAACTACGAAGGCAACATAACTACAATTAAAACAAATATTAAGTATCAAATTTAAGATTAAAGACACAAATTGTGCATAACTATAGACATGTACACTATTTCTCAAAAAAAATTCCTCTACTGTGGAATTGACTAATTTTTGTGAATAGGGAGCATTTGTTACACTAGAAATTTAGTTAAGGGTTAATTACTTTCTTTGCATTCTAGCAAACCTATAAAGGTCGTGTTCTGAATGTAAGGACATTTATTAAACTCTTTTATGGGATTCTTCTACGTTATAATCATTCACATTCATTAGCATTAGAGTGTGATTTTGATACTTTCAAGAGCTCTTACCTTCTAAGTATCGTACAACACCATATATAAATTCATCATCATTAACACAACAAAATCAACCCGAAAGTATATTAATCCATAAATCATAATATTGTTTTTTAATCAACTCTGCTAGTCTTAACCAAGAGTTTAACTATAACTACACATAAAACAAGAAAGAAATGCAAGACATAAAATTGAAAGGAGAGTCAATGAAAGAGTTTACCAAACAAGGAAAAACACAAATGCACTTATTTTGTAAGATACAAATAAAAAGTTACTACATTTTACTAACTAATAATATATACCTAATCAAGAAATAGAGTATAAAAACTTATTTCTTCCTAATTAAAAATTAGCCTAAAGTATAAGAAGTAACTATCTAAAATGTTATATCAACCATTAACCGCAAGAAGGTCTATTGTAGAGGTTAGGAAAGCAAAAACTAATTTAGTTAGGGTTATAAATATAGGATCAAAATTTCAATTTGCAAATTTAATGCAACGGAGATGTTGTTTGGCACTGTGACTTGTTTTACCGATGATAAGAAGACGCGGATCAGAGTCACACTTGACCATCTCGAATATATCTAATTATTTTAGCGCATAGCGATCTAACTTGGTTCTCTTGGTCAAAGACATCGTGAAATTCTAAGTATCATAATCTCTTCGAAGGTTTCTTGCGTCCATTTTTGGCTGAGCTTTCCTCATCACTTCAAGTTGTGGGACTTTGTTGCGACCTTATTTGACCAAAATTCCTTAGTCGCAGGAGGTCATAAGTTCTAGCAATTTTCTCTTTCATGTTTTTGCCCTTTTTCCAGTTGTTTTGCTCCAAATAAACAACAACGAAACAAAGTTGTGTCACAGAAGAAAATACATTCTCAACCATTTTGAACTTATAATGACATAAAATTATGTATATATGATACAAATAAGTGGGTAAATGAGTATGAAAAAATGTAACACTTTCGTATTTATTAATATACTGAGAAAAGTATATGAAATCTTGATAACTTTTAGTATTTTCCTTAAAAAAAGAAATTAATTTCCAGATGCTAATGTATTATTTATAAGAAATTATTTTAAACACAACATAACTTTTTGAATCTGTCACGTTCAATAATTTCCTTTATATTTGATAGCTGGACATGGGTAATATTACAAGCTGTGTTTTTTCATTACTACTAAATATGATGCTACACAAAAATAATCTTATATAAACTTATTTTAACAAGAGTTACAATTAAAGGTAAAACAAACTCTGATTTATGTTTGATGTGAATCTTTCAATTTAATGAAACATAACTTAATGAAGCGGAATCTTGTTTTAGATTATGACACCAACATTTGTCTATTTTTCCACCTATAACTCGTTTAGTCAATCAAGATTACAAAGCACACAACGATATTTCAATCTTACGATAAATTGAATATCAAACTCAAAAATATGGGAAAATAAGAAGATGAATGAAGTGTTGTAGAGATTTGATCCTTATAAAACAAGTCAAATGAAATTTCCACCTTAAATTTGAGATGGAAATGTTTTCATGTGTTCCAAATAAAAAGGAAAGTAGCATCCAATTTGTGAAATACCAAATCTCGAATCTTACTATATATTAAGGGAATTTTTCTCACAAGACACATGTCAGACAATTAGATCATTAATAATATCCAAAAAACACGTGTCAACTTCTAATTTGTAGAGAAACTTATGGAGCCCATGTGTCAAACTTTTATTGGCTTATTACTTTTACTAACTTTTTTACTACACCTTACAAATGTAAATTTGCAAGGTAAAACAGTTCTGATAATGATAAAATAAAATATTTTTTTTATCTAATCATCGGTTTTCCTTTTCACCAATTAATCGATATTGATATCCGCCTCTTTTAGCCCTTCAAAATAGAGAACATGAACCAAAACCTACAGATTTCTCCATCTTTTACCCATGTTGCTCCCAATTTGGTTGGAAGAAATGACAACGTATGACATTGTATTCCATCAGCTAAACTGCTGGAAATAAAATACAAAAAGATCAAGTACAAACGAGACTAATATGAAAGAGACCAATAAGATCAGCAGGCGACTCAAAGGCACAAACGGGACTTGCTGTTTGGATGGATTGAGCTTCAAAAGGGGGAGATACACGACTTTTCTCCATCATAGCCCTTCTTTTGCAGATTTCCATTTCCCTTCTTTTGCAAAACGTCGACACCATTGAATCTATAAAGAAAGATGGGATCTGATGTTGCTTTTTAATCTTGAGGCGACGGCTGCCTTTTTTTTCCTGTTTTTTTTTGAAATGGTATTTTTTTTTCATGTTAATAGGCGAAAAACCCCAAGATAGATGAATATGTTGTCAAATTAGACAATAGCAAGCGGCAGCATGAAGAAAAAAGAAAACCCTAATTGTGAATTTTTTTTTCTTTTTTTTGACTTTATTCAATATGATGGGCTGAATCAGAAAGTGGCTGAAAATGAGCAACAAAAGAACCAAAGTTAAAACGGTAAATCCATCAAAATTACTCTTTATTATTTTTTTTTAAAAAAAACTAAGTTTAACTAGATAAAACTTTTTATCGTTTTCTGTTAAGCTATTTTACGTGGATAGTAAATGCTTTTAATTACAAAATAATGCAACAAACAAATTGAAAATATTCAAAAAAAACAGAATTAAAAATTATATCAAGAAATCCAGATTGTATTTTTTAAAATTTTCAAATTTGAAGAATAAATCAGAAACATTAATATGAGTTGTTATCAAGAATAAATCCAAACGAATAAATTCGTTCTTTATAATTTAACGGATAAAAATGGAAAAATGCTAAAAGAATATCAAAAACAAATCAATCATATGAGGTAAGATAAGATTTTAATAAACGACAATAAATATGAAAACGATTATTATTTATCATGATTTTTAAATTAGTATTGAAAAAGATTGTATGTATTTTAAATAATTTTACGATTAATCAATGTATGATCGATGTAAGTCAGGAAATAAATATTTAATGGTAAGTCAGAGACTTTTTCTCTGGTGCTATCATACCCGGCCACCTTTCGCCTCTCTCCCTATGTTTGTCTTCTCCATTGATAGGTATTTTGCAGCAATTATCATAAACGAGAAACATGTAATCTTCATAATTTTGTTCCCTTTTGTGAGATGTTGTAGAGTAGTTTGTGATTTGTAGAGTCACTGCAAGGATTCTTTTTCAATTTTTTTGTACGTTTTGTAGAGCATTCCTTTCCATTTTTTTGTACGCTTTGTAGAGCCACTGATGCTCTGATCATCATCTTTTTTCTTGAAAAAAAAAAGACTTCGATGCTGTCCTATCATTAGATCTCATCATCCCTTGAGTAATTTTTGTTTTTGATGCCAAAAGTTGGCCACTCCAGTCGCACTTTTTCTTGAATTTTGGTTTGCTTCATATTTATTGATGTATATGAACCATCGATGGAGCCATATATGGAGGCAAACACAATCTAATGAATTAAAAAATCCCAAATTTGATGATGATCTTGGTGATTCGGAGGATGATGACGTGTTGAAAATTGCCATTTTAATTTTCATTTTGATAAATTGGAATTGCCCAAAGATACATCTTATGATTTTTGGATTGATAATCAGGCTTGGAAATTTTATTTTATTTTTTTTTGTGGAAAGATACTTGAAGTTGATAAACGAGAATCCAAATATGGCTAAGTGGGATTCAACAATTGTTGTGCTTCATTAATTTATCAACGTCCTCCATTCTTTTTCTTTTTGTTGATGAACCCTGTTCCATCATGATGGATTGCAACATCTATCTTGTGCAAATCCCACTTAATTAATGGAACTTTCTCTTTCTTTTGTTGTTTTTGGTCATGATTGCTAACTAGTTGCTTTAATGTTGGATTTTTTTTCCCTTTTTTCTTTACTTGGGTTCTTTTGCTATGGTGATTAATAGGACTTGACCAATTGGCAATGTTTGGGCAAAACACAAATTCAATCAATTGGAATCCATTTGCCATCACCCCTCTGCAGCTCATACCATAAAATCTTTTTGGGTGAAGACGATGTTTGAATACCTTTTAAAAAAATAAAATAAAACAAAAATAAAATGGTTTGAATAGCCAACCCTTTTAGTCTGGATCAATATTCGGGAAAACAAATCAGGCCAACAATATTTCATCTCCTTTGGGAATGGAAGTTTTGCAAGCCGCCACACAGACAGCGCCGTGCTTGATATCGAGCCTGCTCCGGCGGTAGCCGCCGTTCAGTTAGCTGATGCTGTCGTCGAGCCGCCAGTCCCCGCCGTTGTCCCTGACGATATTGCCGCTGGGGATGTTGTCCCCAATGCTGCCAATGTTTTTCCACCACCAGCTCCCGTCGGGGCCGACGACAATGTGCTTCCAGATGGCTTTGCTCCTGGTGGAGCTCCTCCTCCTCTGATCGCAGATCCTGATATGGACACTTGGGCGGTGGATTTCATTGCGAGTCAACCGACGCTGGTTGTGAAAAATGTCGACGAAGTGGCTCGGTTGAAGATGATTGCGGATATGTATCCAGGTGTGAATCTCCCCACTTTCAATATATGCCATGGTGTACTGAACCTGAGGTACGAGGAGATCTGCTTTGCACTTCACGCTTGTGGTTTTTCCAAGTCGGAAACGCTCATCATCACTCCGACCGGGTCGCCCTGATGGGGTTCGGGTCCGCTATAAATTTTCCCCCCTTTTGCTTGAAGAAGTTTTTGGACTCTGCCAGGGCAAGTTTTTGAAGAAGAGTTTTATTTATGGAAGACCCACCTAGCGTTTATGTAAATCTCAGTTTTGCCGGTAGTTTTTTCACCAGTAGCGTTTATGTAAATCTCAGTTTCACCTAGCGTTTATGTAAACTTCAAATCCCTAATCAAATCCCTCTCTTCCAACAAGTTCTTGTTGATGTTAAGAATAGGACAGGATGAAGATCAGGGCAAGGGCTAAAAAAATATTCCTTCCTTTTTATTAGTACCATAACTTGTCTCTTAGGTCCAGATACGTGCATCAGTTTTTGATCAGCCATCGTGTTATATGCATTGCTTTTTTGTTCGTGTTTTGGTCAGTAGATTTTTATTCTGAAATACTCAACTGCTTGTGATAACATAGAACTCTAACTGTCATCCTGATCAGTGACGGAACCAGAGGTTTGATACTGGAGAGTCGATATTGTAACATGACTAAACATTTTTTTTTATATATACATATAAAAAATTAGAATCATAGAATATAAAGTGGATTATCTTTTCAAAATTTGTGATTTGCTTTAAATAAGTTTGTGGGGATCACATTTATAAACATGTACAAAACTTTTCCTCCAAATCATTCTGGAATCTATTTTGAAAGAGCCCTCTATCCTAATATTATGTTAAATTTATTCTCATGTTTATATGGTGCCACAATTATAATTTTTTGTTACAGGATAGAGTGTTTAAGATTTGATTTTCGATAATTCTCAACTGTGATTTTATTAATTCATAATTAAAACAACATAACAACGTTTATGATTTATGATTATATTTTATAAATACACAAATTTTGAAAGGATGATTTCTATATGATTACATTCATATAATACAATTTAAATACATGGGTCTTGTGCTGCTCCTCCAGAACATATCCTTGACAGGATAAGATTATTTTTGAATACACAAAGCCCAAAGAATGTGTTGGGTGAAGCCAAAATGGCCTATTTTAAAACAAAAGAAAAGGAAAAAAAAAACAAAAGAAGCCCATTAAGAACAAAAGCCGTAGTCTGATCGTCTTTCTTCTTCATCAAAACATTTCGCTGGGGGGTCAGCCGTGGAAAAATACAGATGCCGCGCCTCGCCGGAATACCTCCCTTAAAGGTGTTTTCGGAATCTGGGGGGTCGGTCAATCCTCCTGACCCCCCTGTAGTTCCGTCCCTGATCCTGATGGGGAGGGAAACAGGGGAAATAGAACAGAGATATTATATTTGGCATCTTCGTATCATTTTTGTCATTTATATTCTCCAGCAACAGTTATTAATTTCTTTATTTTGATTTTTGCAACTCTGCCAGTTCCTTGAGCTCATTTTTGAAGTCATTGCCGAAATTTTGTTCTTGCTTCTGATCATAACATTCTTCTAATAGAGCAATAAAATGATTGAATAGTATCCCATTCTGGATTTTAACTTTAATGACTTCAGTTTTAAAATTTGCTCACGTCCTTCTGGATTTTTTCTTCTGTGCTCCATTTGAAGTCTTACTGTCTTGCTGACTTTAATTTTAGCTTTACGAAAAGTTTTTTTTTCTTTTTTTTTTTCCTTTCTGTTTTGCCGTGAAGATGTGTTCTTAAATAGGGGATAATTTAGCGGATAAAAATGGAATGTGTTCTTTATAATTTAACGGATAAAAATGGAAAAAGGTTTTGATAAACGACGATAAATATGAAAAGATTCTTATTTATCATGATTTTTAAATTAGTATTGAAAAAGATTGTATGTATTTTAAATAATTTTACGATTAATCAATGTATGATCAATGTAAGGCAGGATATAAATATTTAATGGTAAGTCAGAGACTTTTTCTCCGGTGCTATCATACCCGACCACCTTTTGCCTCTCTCCCTATGTTTGTCTTCTCCATAGATGGGTATTTTGCAGCAATTATCATAAACGAGAAACAAGTAATCTTCATAATTTTGTTTCCTTTTGTGAGATGTTGTAGAGTAGTTTGTGGTTTGTAGAATCATTGCCAGGATTCTTTTTCAATTTTTTTTTTGTACATTTTGTAGAACATTCTTTTCCTTTTTCTTGTACGCTTTGTAGAGCCACTAATGCTGTGATCATCATCTTTTTTCTTGAAAAAAAAAAATGACTTCGATGCTGTCCCATCATTAGATCTCATCATCCCTTGAGTAATTTTTATTTTTGATGCCAAAAGTTGGCCACTCCAGTCACACTTTTTCTTGAATTTTGGTTTGCTTCATTTTTATTGATGTATATGAACCATCGATGGAGCCATATATGGAGGCAAACACAATCTCATGAATTAAAAAATCCCAAATTTGATGACGTGGTTAAAATTGCCATTTTAATTTTCATTTTGATAAATTGGAATTGCCCAAAAATACATCTTTTGATTTTTGGATTGATAATCAGGCTTGGAAATTTTATTTTATTTTATTTTATTGTTTTTGTGGAAAGACGCTTGAAGTTGATAAACGAGAATCCAAAAATGGCTAAGTGGGATTCAACAATTGTTGTGCTTCATTAATTTATCAACATCCTCCATTCTTTTTCTTTTTGCTGATGAACCCTGTTCCATCATGATGGATTGCAACATCTATCTTGTGTGAATCCCACTTAATTAATGGAACTTTCTCTTTCTTTTGTTGTTTTTGGTCATGATTGCTAACTGGTTGCTTTAATGTTGGATTTTTTTCCCCCTTTTTTTTTTACTTGGGTTCTTTTGCTATGGTGATTCACAGGACTCGACCAATTGGCAATGTTTGGGCAAAACACAAATTCAATCAATCGGAATCCATTTGCCCTCACCCCTTTGCAGCTCATACCGTAAAATCTTTTTGGGTGAAGACGATGTTTGAATACCTTTTCAAAAAAAAAAAAACAAAAAAAAATGGTTTGAATAGCCAACCCTTTTAGTCTGGATCAGTATTCGGGAAAACAAATCAGGCCAACAAAATTTCATCTCCTTTGGGAATGGATATTTTGCAAGCCGATACACAGAGGAAGGAAGCGCTCAACATTTTCTTTTTTTTTTTTATTTTGAACCAAAGATACTGTCATTAACATTTTTTATTCATAAACAAACTGTCATTAATATTTGAGCAAACAGAGTTAAAAAAAAAGTGAATGCCTAAGCAAGCTTATGCACTCAACACTTTGTTTTCCGAGGACAGTCCAATCCAGAGCCCATCACATTGTAGTGCGTTGGTGTTTGCAAAAGATCACTGGATCAAAGTTTTCTGAAAGATTATAATATGCTTTTTTTTTATGTGTTTTATATCATGGTAAATTTGTGAAGGAGGGAATACCTTTTATACTTTCCAAACCAACATAAAAAAATATTTATTTCCTACCACTTAGTATATCTAAGAAATTTTGGTGGGGATGTACATTATCTAAATCTAACTAATAATCTTCAAGCACTAAATTATTTGAAAAAGATATGAATATTTAAAATTTTATCATCAATAATTACCTATGGGCTGCTTTATTAAAATTTTAACTTTAACACAAATAGAAAAAAAAAATCACCGCGCAAAGCGCGGGTATAATACTAGTCAGATTAATGGCATAGTTTGCAAAAAATATTAACTCAAGTTCATGCATCAAACTAATTGTAAGATTATCCAAAAGATTCACTTCATTCTAATTCAAAAATTCGAATGAAAATTTCTATAAATTTAAATATATATATATATATATATAGATCTTAAAATTACATAACCGTTTGGCTATCCCCTATTTATAGGGTTAGACTTTTTGCCAACAAAAACCAAAATCCAATTACACATAGTTGGAATTTAGGAAATAAATAAAAAAATTAATATTTTAAAAATTCTCTGGTTTGGTCCATTACCCTTGTCTTTTAAACTACTTTAGTTCTTTTTACTTTTTTTGATACTTTACATTTGGTGGTTCTTGGGTTGACCATTTCTTCGTCAAGTCAACAGGGATTTTTTTTTGGTAATGCCTAATTTTCTAAAATATAAAAAAATTAATCAAAATAATATTATGCATTTAATATTGATTTATAATTAATTAAAAAGTGAAAATTTCCAAATTAAAAAAATCCAAAATTTGAATTAATTATTTTTATCTGGCGAGCCTCCCCATCCAAGACCTTATCCTTTAACTATTTTTTCCACATCCAAGAGGGGGTTTGGGAATGGAAAAGTGTTTAACCAGGAGGAACGGAGAAAAAAGTTAAAGAATAAGGTCAATAATAAGATCCTGAAAGTGGGACCCACATAGTTAAAAAAAGAAATCAAATTTTGGAAAAAAATTGGAATTTTGAAACATAATTTTTTAATTAATTATAAATCAATATAATACGTTTAATATTATTTCAATAAATTTTTATTTTTTTCATATTTTTAAAGATTTAACATTACCAAAAATACCATATTGACTTGACCAAGAAATGGTCAACTGAGAACCACTGAATGTAAAGTGTCAAAAAAAAAGAGACTCAATTAGTGTAAAAGACAAATGTAATGGACCAAAGCAATGATTTTTTAATATAAAGGACCATATTAAGTTTTTTTGACAAATGTAAAGGACCATTTGAGCAGTTTACTCTTCATCGAAAATAGTTTGTAATTATCAGCCTTTGAAAATTTGTAACTAATAACCATGGACAAATAATAATCCCCGATTCAATGTGTGGGAGTGTTTTATTCCTGGTTAATTCATTTGTCCAAGTGGGATGAAAACAAATAAAAAATCCTTGTAAATTGGTTGGCTTTTTTTTCCCAACTTTTTTAGTAATATTCTTAGATTGTTGAGTTCTGTTAAGGAAGCTATGAGTTGCATATCAAAACGATTGGAGGGGTTGAGCAAGAAGAAGGAGTGGTTGGAAGCCAAAATTGTTGTTTGTGGACCTTCAATCGAGAACTTTTTCATCGCAGTATCACCGCCAAAATAACCACCCAAGTCGATAACATATTTAGATATC